TCAGAAAATCCCCTTGGCGGCTTGGATTTGGATTTGAAGCCCTGGTTCTGGTAGAGGGTCAAGGGACCCCGTTTCACCACCAAACCGGGCTCCGAGCTCCCGGCGGAGAGGTAAGCTGCCTGGGTCCGTCGAAGCGCGAGGTATCCGCCGCATCTACTTCAGCGACCGCCTCTACAGCGAGGAGGAGCTGCCCCCTGAGTTCAAGCTCTTCCTGCCGGCGGGGCATCGACACCGGAGTGATTCGAAACTCGAAACCGGAGATCCACCGGGGAAATTTTCGGAAAGCCGGATCCGCCCGGGTTGGTCGCGGCTTGGGAGGCGGTCAAAAATCCATGGAGTCCCAGGGAGTCCCCATTTTCAGCATGTTTTTTTGGGAGAATCCAAGTCGCAGCCGTAGTTGTGCTTTTGAATAGGTGAGTTTGGAGAGAAGTAGATGCGTTCAACCGGTTTTTGACTGGCGTTATGCCATCCATTTGGGGAAACTCACTTGTTTTGCCAGAGTCCACTGCTATGGGCAAGACCTGTCGTGTCAACCAGGAAAGTCACTCACCAGGGGCTTTCCTTATTCCGTGTTTTCGGTTTATTGGGGCTGGGTTGTTTAGGTACCCAGTAAAAAGGGAAACCAAAGGGAACATCACCATTTTTGGGGTCTCCCTTTTAAAAGAAACAGAAACACACCATTCCGGAGGTGTCCTTATTCCCCTCACTATCTGAGTTTGTTCTTTTTGGGAAGATCGGTTTGGTAAACAACAAGCTCGGACTTTTTTTGGCCCACGCACTTACGAGAAGTAGCGAAAACCAAGCACGAAAAATAACTTCCCCAAGAGAGCATGACTACTGGCTGGGCCCTTGAAAGGCAAGCTTTTTGAGGGTGGGGTGTTCCGAGTCGGACCCAAAAGCAAAATGCCCTCATTCTTTGTACAGCCCCGGCAAAAGGAGGTTTGCCCCCCCGCCCCCATTTGGCGCTACACGTTTTTGAGTTTTCAGGGCACCTGGTTTGGGTGGGACCATTTTGGAGACTCCGACCTACAAGAAGACACACCCATGTTGAGCAACCCTGTTGGTTGGAGTTCAACAGCCATCATGTCATTTGTTTCATGTTGTTTCCTCTAAAACCCAAGAGGGATGGACAGGTGTGTTGTATTCAATCCCCTTTATTTCACACCGGGAGCCAAAAAAAATGGTTGAGGGAGAACTATAATGTAAAACCTTGAAGTTAACAAATCCGTTTACCTGCTAGAGTGGAAACTGGTGTCTCCTCCAAAGCTATTTCTGGGGTGGACTATGAGACAGAGTCAGAAGATACTTTATGTTCCGTGTACTCCTTTTTTGTGAGCCAAGGCAACTGGAAGCACTGGTGTTTGCGTCAAAATAGGGACTTCTCCCCCAAAAGGAATAAAAAGAAAAATAAAAAGAAAACAGATAGTCTACCTGCTGGTGTCCCCCCCCCAAGAGAAAAAAGGGGGAACCAGAACAGGTGTCCTGCTTTTTCCCCCACCACCCTTACGGAAGTGTAGCGACTCGAACGAGAAATCCACTCAACTCCAAACTCCGCCGGGTGTCAGGTGGCGCAGAAGGCCCAGCAGGCCGCGCCTTCAGCGCCGGCGCAGTGAGGCGCCGCGGGCGCGCGGAGGCGCGCCTCCAATCAACCCGAGGGAGGGGGGATTCATAAGGCCCTTTGATGAGTATGGACCAGTATGGACATATCCTCACAGGCGCTGGATTTGTTGTTGTTTCTTTTTGGAGAGAGAATTCTAGCGGCCAAGAAAGAGTTCGGACTTCTTTGGGACCATCCACTTGGGAAGTGAGGCATTGAGATTCTCAGTTGCCCAAAGCAAATCCACCTGATCTGACCTTTTGGTTTGCGCGTATCGGGTTCGATGTTTTAGTCATGGCCACCGAAGGTCAACCTTTTGTTACTGGGTCCTTTCGGCAAGGAGTCGAGGTGGATCCCGTCTCTCAGTGACGAGATGATTTGGCCCCTGGTACAGGTCTCAGTTGAAAAACATGTGGAGCCAAATTGTTGGGGGTGGTTTCCAGAAAAACCAAAGGCACGCAAAACCATTTTGTTTGCCCCGGAGAAAGTAAAGCCTATTTGCATAGCAACGCACAGACCGGTGAGTCAAGCTGTGCCTCAAAAGTTGTTAGCTGCAAATTGTTTTGAGGTTTGGAGCAGGTCAAATGAGGGCTCCTTGTTGGCATTCCCGAACACGGTGCCGAACCAAGGTCCCCCGAAGGAATCTTCTGAAAGTCTGAAAGGCCGTTGTCTTAAAAGGCGAACACCCAAAGCATTGGCCCAAAAAGAAAAAACAATAGCATGCAAATGTACTTCTACACGCATGTATAAATGTGCCTATATACATATTATATATATATATGTATGTACACATATCATATATATATATATATATATCTTAAGTCAGCCGTTTCCCCTGGAATTTTGGTGGTTTGCTGCAAGCAAGGATGCAGCCTCTTCAGGAGTTACCCCCGAGAAACTTGGCAGGCCGCGGACCCCTGCAAGGTTACCCTCCAACCAATTAACACGGAACCTCACAGGCAGTCCCTGTAAAAGGAAAATTGTCTTCCAGGAGCCCCCCGCCAGACCAAATCGTGGGTTATGGTGAAAGCTGATGCAGCAGCAGCACTTCCCTCTACATGGGTAAGTAAAGAGGAGCATCATTTGCCATCACCCCAACTGAAATGGCCAGTTTCCGGGAGACAAGCTGAAATCGCAACAAGGAGCAAAGTCGTATGGAAAAAAAAGAAAACACTGGCAGCAAAGAGCGGATGTGTTTCGTCAGAGCTCGCTATATTTCCTGTTCTCTTGTTCTTGGCCTCTTAGTTTACGGGAGTTTCCTTGTACTAGGTCGCCTAGTAGGTAGTGAGAGATGTGAACCCAAAAGAGAAAAATATGATGAATTCTCAAGGCGCAGGTTCCAGGCAGCATGGATCGAGGAACCCTCCAACAATATACCTGCTGAGCATCGCGGATCGCCCTCCGAGAGGAATCTTCTTCATTCAGTGGGGTTGGGGTTGGATGAAAAGCTATGTTGGAGGGTTCTTGGAACGGAGCAAACGACCGAACGCGATCCCAAAACTCTCCTGCGTTGCCTTTCCGGACAGCACTTTCCGGACAGCACTGTGCACCTAACCCTGGTGCTGGATGGGGTGTGGCAAGTTGCGACCAATGCGAGGAATCAAGCCAGCATGTGGGTTGGTCAGCATTCATTTCCCCCGCCCTGTGTGAGCTCCTTATAATTGGCCCAGATTGTCAAGAGACACGGAAGAAGCCTGATGGCATGTGTCCATTTGGTGTCCAGGGTGCCCTTCTCATGTGGATTTTCACGATTTCTTTGTTTGATCAATCTTGGGGACTTTCTTTCCGTGTTTTGAATCATGGGCCAGTGTTTGATGGTGTTCTGGGGTTGCTGACAGGGCAACCAAAACCGAAGCCCAAGTTTTTGCAGATTCCAACCTGGAAGCCAAGTAGCCCATCATGTTAAAATTTATTATTTCCGCAAGAACAAACTATCCGGGGATTGGTAGGTTGTTCCAGACCAGGGTTGTGGGATCAAGGGGTTTTTCCCCACTTCTGTGATACCTGCGGCAATCTCCCCCTTTATATGGGGGTTTAGTCTTTGGGGTTAGGCCCTTTTTGTTGTATCACAGAAGTGGATTCCATTTCCCACAGCCCTGTTCCAGACTGAATGAACTCCCAGACAGAGTGTTTCCCAGAATGCTTCGCCAAGCGCTAGGTACGAGAAGCTTTGCGCCGCGGCGTCCGTCGCGGGAGGTTTCACGCTGCGCGGCTTGCTCCACACCTTTCCGTGGACGCACCCCTGGACGAACGTTCGTCGTGGTATCCAAGCGAGTGGATCTTATGTAAAATTGGTTTAAATGAGGCAACAACTTGTTATACAGGTAGGTAAGGTAAAACGTGTGATGCTGCGTAGAGTAAATGTAAATGAGGCATAGAATCTGAGAGATGCGCAAGCGACGTTTGTCCTACGGCTCTCACCAGGGCTTGCTGAATACGCAGCAGGCCCACAATTCAGATCTCGAACTGCGTTTGCGAGCTTCGAAAAGTCGCCCCATGCGCATCGCGACGTTCCCCTTCCAACTTGGCTGTGGGTCAAACCAATGGGATCCCATTTTGGGATAGGTGCACCACCCGTTTTAGAACCTATTTTAGTGGGGATTGGGATGTTCACAGGGGGTACGATTTGGATTTTGGCCCATGGCCAATTGACCGGATAAAACATGGCATCCAGTTTGGCAACCCTGATGCATACAATTTGCGGGCATCAAGCTTTCACGAGTCGACGAGGCAAGAACCCCGTTTGGGAATGAACATGGGGATCCCAATCAAACCACCAGTTAGATTGTGATACAGTTCGATGGCATTCCCTCATTCCCTTCTGACCAGCAAAAGGTTTTTGTGTGCGTCTTTCTTTGGAGGCCTCTACTTCCTGATTTCCTCCAACATGCTGACCAAATTTGGGAGCCAAACGGCACGTCATTCTTGAGGGCGCCCTCCAATCACCTCCACTTGCCCGGAGATTCTCCTTCTGGCATTTTTTTTCTGGCGGCTTTGTTTTTTTTGGGGGGTCAGTAAAAAACGACCACTCAACCCCCTGCGCAAAGAAGAAAAGACAAAAAAGAAACACCTCCCAGCCTCCCAGACTCCCAGCCTTCCAGCCTCCCAAATCGGCCGCACGCCGCGCACGTCCATGCGGCAGGCGCCTGGGGCCCAAGCCTGGCACTGCAAGGGCTGCTGGCCGTGGAGTTGCCCACGAGCTCCGCGGTGCTGCACCTCGCAGGCGCGGGGGGTCGCTCGAAGCGAGGTTCGAGGTGAGCCGGACGGGCCGTGCTGCCTCCAAACCGGGCTGGTGGGTTGGTGTTATTTGAGCAAGGGGATATTTGATGGACATGTTGATCTGGCGTGTTTTGGCTTGGCTGGTATTTGATGGAGATTTCATGGAGTTATATGTTCTTATAGGGCCGAAGCCTTGCAATCGCATAGAGCCATCCGCATGGTCGCTGGGAAGTCGACGAATCAGTGAGGGGCCCGCCTTTCCGCCAGGCCACGCGGTGAAGTTCACCCAACACCAGGCGCTGAGCCCTCTGAAGCTGCAGCTGCAAGCCCACCTGGAGGCGAACGGTTCAACGGGCGCGAGAGGACTCAAGCCAGGGGGGGTTTGGCCGTCCAAAAGAGACATGTCCAAAAGGGCCAAGAATCCAAGAAAAACAACAATCGAAAACTAAGGGGGTGTTGCGTATGCTAGTTGCCGGGAAAGAAAAATGTATAAACCCCAAGTTGCAAGCGTTTGCATCAGATCCGGGAAGGGTAGAGCAAAAGACCCGCCCTGCTGCATGTTGAAACCAGCAATTTCTCTCCATTCCTCTCCTTGTGGGGACCCTCGAGATATACACCTACTGTACAGGCAAAGATTCGGAGGGTTCAAGAATTGCGAGAATCCTGCTCCCTTTGGGAGACCCTCGAAAAAGATACACCCATGCGTACAGTTGGCAAACATTCGAAGATTTCAAGCAGAAATTGGGAAATGAAGGTCCATGTTCTAAATGATTTGTTGCTCACCATAAGGCTCTAGAAGGGGGAACTTCTTGAGGAAGCCTACAGAAATCCGCGTGCGTTTGTCCGGGGTCCATGGCGGGCCCTTTTCCAGGGGTGGTTTCCCTTCAAACGTCAGGAGGTGCCCCTACTTTGGATGGCAAGATCCTGCAGTTGATGCAGCTGGTGCTCATCAGCGTGGATTCTGTCCATCCCTGGCTTGTAAAGGGAACACTTGTACTTTTTGGAGTTCCAAAAAGAATGACGTACCCATTTTGAGACTACAGAGAGCCGTGCCTCTTCGGTAAACGGAAGAAAATTCGTCGGCGAGGTGAGTGGCGCGGCTCAGGGCTTTGTCGCCTACAACAGCAGCGGGCTACGCCTGCTGCAGCCGAACACTCAGAGCGCCTCACTTCCCGGGCAGTTTCCTTGAGACAAAACAGGGAGGCGTCAGAACATTCACAAGCCCTCTTGTTTGTTCAACCGGGCTTTTGTATCACGTCCTGAGTTGAACTGGACTTTAGAATTTTGGGGTTTGGACCAGCTTAGTCGTAAATACAAAGTTCAAACTGTTGCTGGCCAATCCACAAAGGAAGTGAGTTGTTTGCCACAAAGGGCCCCATGCTTTGCTCACTGCCTGAGTTCGACTGGACTTTGGTGATTTTGCTGGGTCTGGGCAACTTCGGCGGTAAGCCAATCCATTCAGGATGAGAGAGAGAGAGAGGATTCATCGAACGCGTGGCGCAGCATGCATCTTGGGGTGGTTCAAATCCACACATGGTGTTGCCCTGGGTGAAGAAACGGGTGTGTCTTTTTTTAAGGTTGGACCCCCCAAAATTGTGGCTCTCCTTGCGTTGTTTTGTAAAACCGCAAAAAAGGTGCCCTCAAACAAAGACGGTCTGAGGTGGAACACCCCTTATGAATCCAGGTGTTTTAAATCTGGGTTTCCATTACCTTCCGTGAAGCACATGCCCCTCCAACACAAGGTCCGGGGCCCTCCAATGAAGAACCTGGACGGGTCCCTTAAAAGGCCTTGAAAAGAACCATTTTGAGGCCCCAAAAAAGAATTGGGAGCCTTAGGGTGGGGGAATATATTCTTGTTTCGCGGATGGTTTGCCATATTGTTCGTGAATCAGTCGCACTAACCCAACCGCAGCTGAGTCGCCCGAGATATTCCTGGGCCATAATCCACAAAGACCACGGCACAAGCCAGACAACAGATCTTCAGAAACAGAATGTGACAGATATGAATACTCCAGGCAAGAAAAGTGTCCTTCAACCAAGCGCATTCAAGAACCCCCCCTTCAGGTGGATTCAATGAACCGCTATTTCAACCAGTTTATCTAGCAGCTTTTTGTTTTGAAGCAAGTCCTCTTGTTTCATGTTCGTCAACGTGTTGGTTCAACGGCGTTTCGGGTGGAACCCCCAACCTCCACCCTCCCCTCCCCAACCCCCCGGGCTTCGAGTCCGATTCGGCCCATCGCATCGGCATGGCGTTGACGCCGCTGCGGGTCACCGCGCTGCGGCACTCGGCCTTCTACTCCCCGCTGCTCTTCGCGGTGAAGAGCGGCCTGCTGGACCGGCGGAAGGGGCACCGAGGGGGGGGCAAACCAAAGAAAAAGAGGCGTGGGAGTTTGTTTTTTGTTCAACAGGGGGGCCAAAGGGGAAAGGCGCCGTATTTTTGTTGGGGGGGCCCTTCCGATTTCAAGACAGTCGGGGAGATCCCTCAATTTGCGCTAAATGTCCCATGTCGTTTGAGGAAAGAAACAGTTTTGACGATAAGGATTGTCATTTATGTTGCATGTTGACCAGGCGCAGCCGGCTCCAAGATGTTTTGGGTGGCTTCTGAGACGGCAGATTGTACCCTCGTGTGTGGCCCTTGCCAACCGCTACACCCCATGGGCAAAGGCTGAGTTGGGATCCGCAAGCAAGCAGGGGGCGAAGCAGCCTGTTGAGCCCTACGAAGGTGACGTCAACAAGTCCAAGTTATGATGACCGTTCCGGTTGCCCTCCAAGGTTTCCATTGAAGGAGTCTACAGAGGTTTACCGCAACAGTACCCTCCCGTCCACTCTACGGCAACAAAAAAAGAAGAACATGTCGGGGTCCGATTGCTTGCCGCTTGACAATCATGTGGCTGTGGGTCAAAAGCAATGGTACCATTTTGGGGTAGGTGCACCACCCATTTTAGGACCTATTTTAGTGGTTGGTTTGAATCGGATGTTCACTGGGGGCACGCAATTTTTGGATTTTGACCCATTGCCACGTGTGGATCGCATCCGATTTGTTGGAACCCATTTAAGACAGAACCCACGTTCGGTCGCCCAGAGGTTGTACAGCCAATGGGTCACTCCCGCGTCCGAACTTACAAGGCTCGGACAGTTTCCAGAAGTTACCCCTAAAAAATATGAAGGGAGGCCGAAGGGAAACCAAAGAGTATGAGCCCTTGGTATGACCTCCAAACCCAACCAAAGTTCCAAACCAAAGTCCGCACCAAAGTTCCGTGGCAGGAGAAAGAAGGCCTGCAGCCGCACTACGCCCCCTCCACGCCCGAGAAGCCCGCGGTGCAGCAGGCGACCGACAGCTTGGAGGGGGGGGGGGGGGGGAATCGAGTCCCCCGAATGGGGATGTGTTTTTTTTTATTTTATTTTTTATTTCTTCTTCCCCAGGGTACCCCTTTCTGTTTTTGGTTTTAAAGGGAAAGCCAAAAGGAAGATAATCAATTTTGGGGTGTCCAATCTTAAAAAAGGCACAGCCAAATGAGTATAGGTGGACGCCATATCCACCAGCTACTTTTTAAGTGGTTATAGTGGTTCCAAGTCTTAGACGTTTCTACGACCTGGCTAAATGAGTTTGTAGCCGGGCCCGGATAAACCGATATCACCATGTTGCGGTAGCAAAGGGACAATGGGTTTCGGGCATTCACATGGGTGGAGTTCCTTTGGTTTCGTTTGCCTTCATTGTCTTGATTGCTATTTGGTTGGATCTTTTGACTTTTGAGTTTTTGGGAATTCAAGAGCTTTCCATCGAACCCACAAAGACTTCAACTTTTTGGAGACGTCTCCAAGATTCAAACACCCTCAGCAGTGTCAAGAATAGACACACCAGAACGCGAAGAAGAAGCTGAACTTCTGCTTTGGGCTGTTGGCCGTGTGGTTCCTCAAGAAAGGGCACCCTTGAACCTCCGGACTAGTTTGATTTTCTGCTAGGTTCCAAGGGAACCTGGGACACCCCCTGTTGACGGCTTGAAAGCAGAGCCACGGGGAAGGAATCAAACAGCCCTTTAATAGGGAACCCGTGTTTCAGGGGGTGGGTGCCCTTTGATTGCTTGGGTTACAATCCCCTTTGTTTCTGCTAAAGGCGATGTTGTTCTTGGTCGTATCCTTTGAGTCCTGTTTTAGGGACAACGTCATGGTTGTGGAAATGGGGGGGGGTTAGAGCATGCTGTGTCTTTGTCCCCGCAACAAAGTCATAAGGGTTGCCGTCTCTGAAACCATGGACACCCCCCTCCTCCCGAAAGAAGCATGGCGAGCCGCCAGTTGCAAAGCGGGGAAGCCCACGTGTCGCAGCTGGCTGTGGCCGCCAGCTTTGCGAGCCTTGAAAAGGCCGAGAAGCAGGACATGGGGTTCGGGTGTCCAGATGAAAGGTATATGTTTGGGGGTCAAAAATTGGTATCCATTTTGGAACCCAAAATGGAACCAAACACTCAAACCTGCGGTTTTTGCTGGTGCTTTGGTTGTGACCCATGCTCATTAATATATGTTTGGGGGTGAGAAACCCCTTTATTCCCCCCCCTCGTTTACAGCAGAGCCAATGAGGATGTCACTTTGGACCCAGCCTTACCCGACAGCGTTTCAGCCTTTCGCTTGACGCACGGCATTCTGTTTGTGTGGCCCGGTTCAAGGACCCCAGTTAAAATTGGCTGGTCGCAACCCAGCAGAGCGATATCGAACAAGTCGACGAGCAAAGCATTCCAGTTTTGAATTCAGAGCCGATCTCATGACTCTGTTCACGCGCGGAGAGTTCAACTCCAGGATTTGGTGCACTTTGCGAACATCAACGCGCCTCAGATGGGTTTGTTTGGCTCAGAGGTAAGGCTGTATCTTGGAAGGGATCTAAGGAGACGCGTCCAAGTTTGAAAGAGGGAGCAAAAGAGCTGCCAGTTCCATAAGCGCATGAGGAAACCAGGGCTGTGCCCAGTTCAAGAAATGGCCAGACCCGATTCAGACCTGATTCAGCCTCTCTGAGGGCAAACCAAAAGCAGACTGGTTGGGCAACGAACCGGTGTTTTTTTGTATGAATTTACACCAGCCGTGTTCATTTTAAAGTTCCTCATTTTGGATGTCATTTTTGTGTTTGTTGTTTTCCTTTTTTCTCACAGATGAAGCGAGCAAGAAAGTGAGTGAGCGACTGGTGGTTGCAAACAAAACACACCTCGGTCCCTGTTTTTTGAAATCACAACTGGGGGGGGTCATGTTCTTTTTGAAATCACATATGTTGAAATCACGCCTGGGAGGTCCAGGTGTTTTCTTTTTTTGAAAATCACGCTTGGGGAGTGCAGGTGTTTCGTTTTGAAATCACGCCTGGCAGTCCCGGTGCTTGCTTTGTTGAATTCATGCCTGCGGGCCGGGGAGTTGTTTCTTTTGAATTCACGCCTTGGGGCTCCGTTTTTTTTTTTTGAATTCACGCCTCTGGGCTGGTGTTTTTTCTTTTGAGATCACGCCTGGGGGTCCCAGTGTCTTCTTTTATTACATCACGCCTGGTGATTACAAAAAAAAAAACACACACACACAAACACGCGCACCTGGACCCCCGAGGCGTGATTTCAACACCAAAAAAATAACACCTGGACCCCCCAGGCGTGATTTCAAAAAAGACAAAAAATAACACCTGGACCCCCAGGCGTGATTTCAAAACATATAATTCAAAAAAAACACCGGGGCCTTTGGGCAAGAGTAGTTTGATGACATGTTCAACAAGGGTGTCGCTTATAATTCATTGTTGGGCTGCGTTGTTCCATGTGACACAGGATCTAAACATGTTCAAACATGTCTGTTTGTTCACAACTTAGTGGTGTCGGTGCGAGAAAACCGCGACCCTCTCGCGGCGTTGACAACCATTGAGGTCAGGCCTATGTTCAGTCAAGGTTTGAGAAGGTGATTTCCTGTCGGTTGGTAGTTAAAGGGAAGCCAATGGAAAAACAACGTCTTCAGGGACGATTGAAATGCCGCCTATTTTTAGTTTGGCCATCCAGAGTGGTTGACAACCTTTCAGGGACCACCATCTCGAGAAGATTGCCTTTTTATGTCCATGCCCTTTGGGCGCCCGCCTCTCTCGCCTGCCTCGCGTGGCCTCGCTGGGTCTCCTGGTGGCTGAGGAGCGGGATGGCTTCTTCTTGGTGGGCCGCAAGAAGTCGTTCGACTGGAAGGATCTCGAGAACAAAGAGGCGGAGCCCGGGGCGATGGATGGTGTCGCAGAATGGGAGCCGGTCGCATCACAAGGCGCACGCAATCGAAGTGACCTCAAGCTGCAGTGCTGGGGGTTCCAGAAATTTCGCGGAAAGACGCCACTGGGGTATGTTGTGCTTTCCAGACCCCTGCAGGTTTCTTTTAGAGTTCTACCCCTTCCGGTTGCCAATCTGAAGTGACTGGAAAGGTAGGGCGGTGACCCTTTTGAAGCAGGGGTTGGGCTGGGTGCATTGGGTTGGGGGGTTGGGTTGGTTGGGGTTGGGTGGGGTTGGGGTTGGTTGGGGTTGGGTGGGGTTGGGGTTGGGTGGGGTGGGTGGGCTGCGTGGACTAGGTGGGGTTGTGCGTGGACTAGGTGGGGTTGGGGGCTGGGCTGGGCTGGGCTGGGGTGGGCTGGGGTGGGGTGGGGTGGGGTGGGTGGGGTGGGGTGGGGTGGGTGGGGTGGTGGGGTGGGGTGGGGTGGGGTGGGGGTGGGGTGGGGTGGGGTGGGGTGGGGTGGGGTGGGGTGGGGTGGGTTGGGTTGGGTTGGGTTGGGTTGGGTTGGGTTGGGTTGGGTTGGGTTGGGTTGGGTGGGGTTGGTTGGGGTTGGGGTTGGGTGGGGTTGGGGTTGGGTGGGGTGGGTGGGCTGCGTGGACTAGGCGGGGTTGTGCGTGGACTAGGTGGGGTTTGGGTTGGGTTGGGTTGGGTTGGGTTGGGTTGGGTTGGGTTGGGTTGGGTTGGTTGGGTTGGGTTGGGTTGGGTTGGGTTGGGTTGGGGGGTGGGGTGGGCTGGGCTGGGCTGGGCTGGGCTGGGCTGGGTTGGGTTGGGTTGGGTTGGGTTGGGTTGGGTTGGGTTGGGTTGGGTTGGGGTTGGGTGGGGTTGGTTGGGTTGGGTTGTTGGTGGGTTGGGTTGGGTGGGGTTGGGGGTTGGGTGGGGTGGGTGGGCTGCGTGGACTAGGTGGGGTTGTGCGTGGACTAGGTGGGGTTGGGTTGGGTTGGGTTGGGTTGGGTTGGGTTGGGTTGGGTTGGGTTGGGTTGGGTTGGGTTGGGTTGGGTTGGGTTGGGGGGTGGGGTGGGGTGTGGGTGGGCTGGGCTGGGTTGGGTTGGGTTGGGTTGTTGGGTTGGGTTGGGTGGGGTTGGTTGGGGCTGGGTGGGGTTGGGGTTGGGTGAGGTGGAGTGGGTTGGGTGGGTTGGGTTGGGTGGGGTTGGGTGGGCTGCGTCGACTAGGTGGGGTTGGGTTGGGTTGGGTTGGGTGGGGTGGGGTGGGGTGGGGTGGGGTGGGGTGTGGGTGGGCTGGGTTGCGTGGACTAGGTGGGGTTGGGTTGGGTTGGGTTGGGTTGGGTTGGGTTGGGTTGGGTTGGGTTGGGTTGGGTTGGGTTGGGTTGGGTTGGGTTGGGTTGGGGGGTGGGGTGGGGGGGTGGGGTGGGGTGGGCTGGGTTGGGTTGGGTTGGGTTGCTTTGTATGGGTTGGGTTGGGTTGGGTTGGGTTGGGTTGGTTGGGTTGGGTTGGGTTGGGTTGGGTTGGGTTGGGTTGGGTTGGGTTGGGTGGGGTTGGTTGGGGTTGGGTGGGGTTGGGGTTGGTGGGTTGGGTTGGGTTGGGTTAGGTGCGTGGGTTGAGGGTGGGTTGGGCGTGGGTGGGTGGGTGGGTAGGTGGTTGAGTTGGGTTGGGTTGGGTTGGGTTGGGTTGGGTTGGGTTAAACTAGCCCAAACCCTAAACTGCAAAAACCAAAACCCTAAGCCTAAAAAAACAAAAACCACGAAACCTAAAAACCCCAAACCCTAAACTTCAAAAGCCCAAAGCCCTAAACTCTAAACGCTAAGAAACCAAAACCCGCAGCCCGCTGTTTTCTTTGCCCGGCTGCGGCAGGCACCAAAGACAGCCTCCTGCGCGGCGCGCGGCGTTTCAAGGGCGGGCTGAAAGCCCACAACGCCCGGCCGCTGAGCGGCGCCTCGGCCTCCTGCTTCGCCGTCTCGGACCCCTGGGCCACGCTCGAGGACGGGCGGGTCCCTCGTTCGCAAGCCCCTTGAAATCGTCATAGAAACAAGTCGGGCCCGAGTTCGGGCCGAACCGGCTCCCTCGCATTTCGGCTGTCGTTTGAAACAAACCCTCTCGCAAGCAAGCCGCTTTCGGGCTCGCGTTGTTTTCGATGCCGCGACGGCCGTCGGCTCGCGCCAGGACCGCAAATGCCACATCGTTGTGAACGTATGGCTCGGCGAATTCGCGGTCTGGAGCTATCCCACGCTCCAGCCGCGGGATGTGCAAGCGTGGGAAGCTGTCCCGCTTCCAGATGAGGCGCATTACATCCCAAATAAGGCGCCCATTTGCACGCGCAAAGGCCCAGGAGCCTGTGGATTTCGAACTACGATGGCGACCCTTTCATGGCTTCGAACAGTCCGCCCCTGCTCGCGGTGTTGCACGCAACTCCTGAGGGCTCAGAAATCCTCGAGCTGACACAGGCGGCCTCAGGAGTCAAAGCCCACATCGCCAAGACGCCCAAAGATGCAGTGTCTAGTTTGGGCGGCTTTCACATTTTTTCCTCGGGGTCGACACGATGCCTGTGCGAGGCATCGCGTGCGCTGCAGCCGAAAAGGCGCAGCTCGCTGCATTGAATTCGAACGACCCCGCAGCGGACGGCACTATGCTTCAGGCAATCGAGCTGAACGCGCGCCGCGCGCGCGCACGCCGCAGAACTGAACGCGCGCGCGCGCGCGCCGCAAACGATCGCCCGAAGAAGTACGCCCCAGCCGTCGTTGTCGCTCTGGCGCACACGCTTTTGAGGCAGAGCGGCCTCCAGCGTAACGCAGATCGCAGTTCCGCGAGCCTGCGCCACCGGCTGACACTGCATCGCGTCTTGGATCCTTACGCCGTGCTGGACAAAGCGCTCGGCAAAAAGGAGCACAGTTTTTGGGCAAAGTCTGGATGCCGGCCAGACAAATTCGGCTGTCGGCAGCTGCGGGCACAGCCTTGCGCGAGCGGTTCCACAGGTGCAAGCATCGCGCCGAAGGCATGGAAGTGGAGGTCACCCGCTGTCCTCTCTTTGAAGCGGGCGCTCTTGTCGCCCACCGCCTTCAAAAGGGCCGGGGGCACCCTTTCAGGCGCGACCTTGCCACAGTCCTCGCTGCAGCTTCCGAAGGAAGCTGGCAGCCGCGGCCGGTCAAGTCGACGCAAAAGAGGTTCGTGCAACTAACAAGGCTGTGGGTGCGCATGGATTGTCGCTTTGCAGGCCGAGAGCTCAGTGCAGCGCTTGGAGGAAGAGCAAAGAGATACCCGAGCCGAATCCACTCAACTGCAGGCTGATGGGAGATCAGTAGATTTACTTTGGTCAGCCAGCGCAAGCGCAGCTTGTGCTTGCGCAGGCATGCTCACTCTACTGGCGTGTTTGTTGCGCAAAGCAAGTTCAACTCGCGCGCTCACCCTGCATGCTCTTGCAAGTCTCGTCGAAGCATCTCGTCGACGCTGTTTCGCGCAGGCTACCCGCGGCGCTCTTCAATTCGCATTTTCGGGCCAGGGAGCTGGGCTTGGAGCCGGCGATCCGGAGGCCAGCCCAACCCAACCCAACCCAGCCCAGCCCCCCAACAACCCAACCCAACCCGACCACCCACCCACCCGCCACCCACGCACCCTCAACCGCCCACCCAACCCAAGCCAACCCAACAAACCCCAACCCCAACCAACCCAACTCCACCTAGGGAAAGCGCGTCTGCGCAAGACAGCGGCCTCTGCGACGCCTCTGCAGCTCCATTTCCTGGCCACGGCACGAAACTGAAAAGCCCACGGCCTCCCCAAGGGCTGTTCACAATTGGTCAAAGCCTTGGTTAGATCCAACGGGGTTTGCAGTGTTAACTCCTCGCAAAGTATCCATGCTCGATGGGCGGGGGTTTCTCTTTTGCTTCTTGTTAGAACCACGTTTCCAAAAATCAGCAGTGCGCGCCCGTGCGGAATTGTGCCTGATTGTCTTGGTGTTTGCATGTCTGCAAGGAGAGTTCAACTGGTTCATTGCTGGCGCGCCTGATGCTCAAGGCGTCAACCAGCGCAGAGCCAAGTGCAGCGACAACGCTGCCAGGGACTACGTCAACCGCTTCCTTTCCTTTGCGCAGCACACAGCTGAAACGCGCGGTTTCTGCCTGGGCGGCGAGCCATCTCCGTACCGCTTGCGCACCGTGCTTGAATACTTGAGCGTTGAGAATGTCAAATACGTGTAGTACTACAAGTGCAGAGAAGGTGAGCAAGAACTATGGCGGGTGGGCGGGTTGCGTTGGTTGGTTGGGTTGGTGGGTGGAGGGTGGCGGGTTGGGTTAAGTTGGGTAGGTGGTATTGGGTGGGTTGAGTTGGTTGGGTTGGGTCGGGTCGGGTCCGGTCGGATGTGGGTGGGTGGGTGGGTGGGTGGGTGGGTGGAAAAGAATTTGCCTGTTCCGCAACCCCCAAAAAGCAAAACCATGCTTAGGTTTCGAAGCGCCAAACACAAACCAGAACTGTCCAGTCAGGTTCACCACATGATAGGTTTGGGTTTTTTCGCAACCCCCCAAAAACAAAACCCTGCTTAGGTTTGCTTTAGAAGCACCAAACGGAAGCCAGGAGCACGGGGTCCTGCCAGGTTCCCCAAATTGCGGGCTTTGCCTTTCCGCAACCCAAACAGCAAAACAATCAGTTTTCGAAGCGCCAAACAAAACCCAGGAAAACGGGGTCCAGCTCAAACGGTGGGTTTTGCTTGTCCGCGGCCGTCACAAAGCCAACAGTCAGCTTTCAAAGCGCCAAGCGGAAGCCAGGAACACATTGTCCAGCCAGGTTTTTCAAATTGTGGATTTTGTTTTCTCCGCGACCCCCAAAAAACAAAACCACTCCGCGACCCCCAAAAAACAACCAAAAACAAAACCACTCCGCGACCCCCAAAAAACAAAACCACTCCGCGCACAACCCAAAAAACAACCAAAAACAAAACCACTCCGCGACCCCCAAAAAAAACAAAACCATTCCACTCCGCAAAAAACCCCCAAAAAACAATACCACTCCGCGACCCCCAAAAAACAAAACCACTTCCGCCACTTCCGCGACCCACTCCAAAAAACCAAACCACTCCGCGAACCCCCAAAAAACACAACCACTCCGCGACCCCCCCACTCCGCGACCCCAAAAAAGCAAACCACTACTCCGCGACCGCCCAAGAAGCAAAACCACTCCGCGAGCCCCCAAAAAACAAACCACTCCACTTAGCCGCGACCCCCAAAAAACAAAACCACATTCCGCACCCCCAAAAAGCAAAACCACTCCTCGACCACCCAACAAAACAAAACCACTCCGCGAGCCCCAAAAAACCAAAACCACTCATCCGCGACCCCCAAAAAGCAAAACCACTCCGCACCCCCAAAAAAACCACCAAAAAAAAAAACCACTACGCCACACCACAAAAAAACAAAACCACCCAACCCGGGGACCCGCAACAAAAAGCAAAACCAACTCCGCGACCGCCCCAAAAAACAAAACCAATACGCGACCACCCAAAAAACAAAACCACCCACCCGCGACCCACAAAACAAAACCACTACGCGACCCCCAAAAAAAGAACAAAACCACTACGTCCGCGACCGCACCCAAAAACAAAACCACTCCGCGACCCCGAAAAAGCAAAACCACTCCGCGACCCCCAAAAAACAAAACCACTCCGCGAGCCCCAAAAAACAAAACCACTCCGCGACCCCCAAAAAGCAAAACCACTCCGCGACCCCCAAAAAACAACCAAAAAACAAAACCACTACGCGACCCCCAAAAAACAAAACCACCCCGCGACCCTCAAAAAAGCAAAACCACTCCGCGACCCCCAAAAAACAAAACCACTACGCGACCCCCAAAAAACAAAACCACCCCGCGACCCCCAAAAAACAAAACCACTACGCGACCCCCAAAAAACAAAACCACTCCGCGACCCCCAAAAAACAAAACCACTCCGCGACCCTCAAACTCCCCAAAAAGCAAAACCACTCCGCGACCCCCAAAAAGCAAAACCCACAAAACTCTCCGCGTCCCCTAAAAAACAAAACCACTCCGCGAACCCCCGAAAAGACAAAACCACATCCGCCGACCACCCCATAAAAAACAAAACCAAAAACAAAACCACTCCGCGACCCCGAAAAAGCAAAACCACTCCGCGACCCCCAAAAAACAAAACCACTCCGCGAGCCCCAAAAAACAAAACCACTCCGCGACCCCCAAAAAGCAAAACCACTCCGCGACCCCCAAAAAACAACCAAAAAACAAAACCACTACGCGACCCCCAAAAAACAAAACCACCCCGCGACCCTCAAAAAAGCAAAACCACTCCGCGACCCCCAAAAAACAAAACCACTACGCGACCCCCAAAAAACAAAACCACCCCGCGACCCCCAAAAAACAAAACCACTACGCGACCCCCAAAAAACAAAACCACTCCGCGACCCCCAAAAAACACACCCGCGACTTCAAAAACAACTAAAACAAAAACCACTCATGACCGGAGGGTTTTTTGGCCCTGCGACCCCAAAAACAAACCACCTCCGCGACCCTCAAAAAACAAACCACCATGACCCCCTTAAAAAAGCAAACCACTCCGCGACCAAAAAGCAAAACCACTCCGCGACCCCCAAAAAACAAAACCACTCCGCGACCCCCAAAAAGCAAAACCACTCCGCGACCCCCAAAAAACAAAACCACTCCGCGACCCCCAAAAAACAAAACCACTCCGCGACCCCCAAAAAACAAAACAGGTCAGCTTTCGAAGCGCCAAACGGAAGCCGGGAACGCAAACGGCGAGTTTTGTTTTTCCGCGACTCGGAGCAACGGAAGCCGGGAACTCCGTGTAGAGTCTCCATGTACCTCTGCCGCGCGGAAACTCGGCAAAACACACGAAAACGCAAAGAGGCGCAGCGCGCTGAAAACGCACATTGAGACGCACGGGGCACGCGCTGAAACGCACTTGTCGTGAAGCGCGCCGGGCGGACCCACTTAGGTTAGGTCTCTCTATTTTGATACGCAAATTTGTAGGGAGCCCCCATGGTTTCCAGGTGCTGGTCGACCACCTCTTCCAGCCCTTGGCGCTCATCAAGTATGCCTGCCACCTGAAGTGACTCGAATGTGCTAGCAGTGCGTGGCGCCTGAAAGCATGTTTGCCCAAGGAACCAGAATGGGAAATTCTACAAGCGTTACTTCAAGCGTTACTTTTGGTGGATGTTTGGGAAGATGTTTTGGCGTGCCCTTTGTTGGGTTCAAAGAAGCCACAAGGAGAACGGAATGCCGAAAATGGGGTCCACCTATGTCCCGCAAGTTGACGCCCAAACTTGCTGTTGCCCCAAGGAAATCGAACATTATATTTGTTTGGTTTCTCTTTGGGTCCTCAGAATCCAGCAACACGGTCCAAAACAAAGCAAACTAAGAACAGCATGTTCAGGTTAGCTTTGCTTTTTGTGCAGAAGGTTCCTCTCAAGGTTCTCCAAAGGTGATCAACCTCGACTTCACCTGGCGAGGGAAACTTATGATTTTGTTCAGGTACCAATGGGGATAATTTGTGATGCTGCGGAGGTTGCACTATCAAAAAAGCAACAAAAAGCAAAAAACAATGAGGTTGTTTGCTCGAGCTGGTGGCAAGCAGGCCCATTTTTCAGGAACATGGCTAAAACGGAGCAAGCTAAATAACCTACCAACGTTGATTGTTTTGAACACATGAGTGAGTAAAAGTAGCGCATGGACCCCCAATCTCCAGATGTTTGTGAACTGGGAATGTCAACATATGTCAACGGATTGTTTTTGAGCACTCCTCTGGCAGGGGTGCCTACTAGATTGTTTTGGACCTCCTTAAATCGCCATAGTAGCCTACTGCGGAAGTTTCTCTTCATCTTCGGGTTGTTTTCGCCCAAAGGAAAGTGGACTACTCTTCCATCAAGGTAGTGGACGCAGGCTACGGGTTCAGTTCCCGGCACGCAGACTCGCGATCCTTCTCCAGCAATGAGGATTTTCACTTGGTTTCCGCTTCCCCTAAGATTCCTACAAAAGACGCCTCTTGGTTTGTGACTCCAACGCCCCAGGGGACATTTGGCTTTTCCATACCTGGGGTTTTTTGCTGGATTAGACGTCACCCTTTGGTTGTTATTTGCATGTCCCTTTCCGACAGTCTGAAACGCAGGTTGCCAACCGTCCCTTCTGTATTCCGCTTTTGGCGGCCTGGCACCTGAGATGCAAACTTTCGACTGCTTTCCAAGAAGCAAACCAGGAACCATTCAGAGAATGTGACGGGCCAAGGTCACTGTTCCCAAACTATGCCCTTGTCGCAATATATTCACAAATGTAGATACATATAAATGAATCCGGTTTGGAACTGTCTGAAAAGATGCTAAAAAACGAAGCAAATCGAGCCATTTTGCGAGTTGACATATCCCAATTGTAGATAGCAGGTGGGGGTAAGCCCCGGCAGGGTGTCAAGGCGAGCCTACGGGTTTGTCTTCAACAACAAAGTGGTTGGTGTCCCTTTAAGTTTCCTTTTGAACCAACAAACAGGGGGGACGGGGGGCAAGCCAACCAAGCAAGAAGAAGCATGATGTTTCGTTGTTTTCTCTAATCCCCAAGTTTGGTGTTGGGCAGCCAAGCACCACACACACACAGAGGTCTGCAATTTTGGAACATGGTGTCCTTTCAAAATGCAATTTAGAGAGTTGTTCTAGCAAAACAGGACTGGCAGTGGGTAAACCCCCTTTTAAATCAACCCCGGACAAGGCCCCGCTGAAAATGATGGAAGCCCCAAAAATGAGGGAACCCTTGGACCCTGTCAAACGCTTAAATGGAGCCGTGTGCTAATTTGCTCAGGGGTTTGGAACCGGGTGTCAAGATAGGGCAACCCCCATTTCTTTGGGTTAAACGACCGCTTTTCAAGGGCACCGAGCCAACACCCCAAGACCTCGATCCGTTCCTGCCCTCCAAACAAAAACGCCAAAATCGACATGCGCGGAACAAGCCACACCCCAAGTATGTCGACCTGTCCAAAACAAAACAAAAAGAGCACTCCAAGTGGTACATTCCAAAACCACGCCCGGAAAAAAAATATACCCTACACAAAAGCACGCTGAAAGTGTACATTGACATGGGTATGGGTCAAAAAGATCGATCACAAGAAGAAAAAAGAACGAAGAAAAGCAGGTGTTCGTCCTTTCCATTTGCCAGGGCCAACCCTTGAGGCCACCAAGTACTTTGGACTCGCCACAGCTGTCAGCCCGCAGGCGGCCCGGACGCCATGGAGGCTGCCTTCCGTGAGGGCCGAGGCGCGGAAAAAAAACTTGGAGAGGGCTCGGAGGGGTGTGTTTTTGGTTGGGGAGGGGGAGGGAGCCTTTCTTCAGTTCTTGTTTTGTTTGTTTTCTGTTTTTTTTTTTTGTGTGGGGCCATGTGTTTTTGTTTGTTGTTTCTGTTTGAGGGGAGGGCGGGACCTAGTTGTAGTTGGTGTTTGAAGGGCATGTTGCTTTTTTTTGTCGGGAGACTTATTGGTTGCACGGTTTTCAAGGCACGCGTTTGGCACGAAGCAGTATTGGGCCAAAGGGACACTTAGACGAACCCTTCCCCACAGAAAGAAGCAGATTGAGGATTGGTTTTCCGGGTGCTGGTTTTTTGTCAAGGCCCGATTCTTCATACGCATCTTCGAATCTGATCAGCCGGAAGTTGGCCAAAGATGATTCGAACCCCAGCGCCGCGGTGAAGTGTGTCAGTGAGTCCACGGTTCACGGCGCCCTTTTTTTCCTTTTTGGACGGGTGCTCCTTGAAGGTCAGCGACCAAACAGAGTTCAAGGTGTATGTCTCCGGTTATTTGGGAATGGGAATCTTGTTTTGGTATCAGAGTTCCACCACCAAGGCGTCATAAGCTGCATTTCAAAGCCACGGCTTTTGTGGCTTTGTATGGCACGGTTTTGAAGGCGAGCTTGAAGGTTTGCCCTCTGTGAAATGCGAGGTTGACGTCCACCTTCTCCCGCCATGATGGACAGGGTAGCATATTCATGCGAGGTTAGCATTAACGTAGTGTAGTGGATCCGTGATTCTCAGTTACCTCCGCAAACCATGGGCCCCGGTGCAAACCAAGAGCATGGCTAGAATCCACAGGTGTCCTTTCATCAGGGTGTGTCTTACACTCAGGAATGTGTTGATGCGTTCTGCCGTGGATTTGCTCCGTCGAGCACCCTGTAAGTCCGACCAGGAACGGGTGCCCTTGAAAAGGAGCCTGGGGAAATCAAATGCAGGAATTGCACTGGGTTCTGCTTGGCTTTGCTGTGACCCTTCTTCCCCGCCAGAGAAAGCAAGCCGGAGAGAGAGAGAGAGAGAGAGAGAGAGAGAGAGAGAGAGAGAGAGAGAGAGAGAGAGAGAGAGAGAGAGAGAGAGAGAGAGAGAGAGAGAGAGAGAGCGAGGGAGGAAGACTACCCCCAACTACAAAAACCACTCTTCTTCGCGCACTGAAAGCCAGGTGTTCCATGAAAAGTCCGTTGTTTGTCGTGAATTGACATCAAAACCTCAGCACAGCGGTGGATTTTGTGCACAAATCCGGCAGGTGACTTTGTACACCTGCAGGGCCCAGCAGCGCAGCAGCTGGAGCACGATGGCGTAGGCACGAGATGTTTGTCTCTTTTTTTTGGTTGGTGGGGGGTTGATCAAATATTCCTGGCCATAGGTGTACTTTTTGGTTGTTTTGGAAGAAAAATAGATGGCGATTTCTGGTTTACCTGGTGGTTTAATCATCTACCAGGGCCATCTATTTGCCCGGAAAGGACACATATGTTCCTGGCACCCAAAGAAGTGATCACGTTGGCCCTGTGAGCAGAAAAAATATTGTGTCATGTGAAGGACCTTTTGATCAAATGTTCAGGTAGCCAAGGGAACCAGCTTCAAAATCCCAAAAGGAAGATAGGCTTGTTGTTTGTGCTGGCATGAATCCACGGGGGGGAGCCATTGCCTGAGAGTTCCTTTGTATTTGGCCCACATTTGGCGCAGAAAGGTGTTGTCTGACCCTCTTTCACGTTTCGCTTGCCCCGAGACATGTCAACAGTGATTGGAGATGCTCCCAAGCGAAATGGTCTTCAGGTGCGCGGCCCTTTCAGTTACCCTCAACCAAATACCCAGAGCACTCCGCCTTCGTTCAGTTTGTCCTTTGTTTTCGGGGAAGGGTTCCCCTTTGAACACATGGAAATTCACTGGGCATCTGGGAATAATCATGGTTTGATTGTGGTCCATATTCAGTTCTCCTCGAAGCATAACATGATAGAGAGGAATCAGTCCTCCTTGGCTTTTGGCAGTTTGGGGGCTTGAATCCCTGGTTGAGGCTACCAAACCACGCAAAGAAGATATCACTCTTTCGAGGGACGCTGAATAGGCCCAAGGCCAGTTGCGCCGCTTGCTGGTGATTTGTATGCAAGTGAGTAGAGCCCCAATAGTTAAAGTGGTGTACTGATTTTGCCCCTTGCAGTATCCCAGTCAAAGCAAGGAGTCTGGGTCAATTATAGCCACCTCACACGACTAAACCACCCAAATGGTGGTTAACCAAACCACCCAAATGGTGGTTCATGTGGTGAAGATTCCCTTGCCCCCAATCACCTCATCTCAGGTGGGTGACACCTTTTTTCCCCGATTCGCCCAGCAGGAGTTGGGAATTTTTGTTCCGCCCCGCTGGCGACGTCGCCTTCCGCTCGGTTTCGGTAGGCGCGGTGGCCGCCTCCTGCGGGGAGGCCATCGGGCCTGTGGCATTCAGCTCGCTCTGCGCCCAGAGGCTCGGGGGAGGTCGGAAAATTTCGGGGGGAGAAGACGCCGGCGCGGATGTTTTTTTTTTTTTTTTTTTTTTCGCCAAGGGAGGAAAGAGGCCAATTCGGCTGGCCCTCAAGGGATGGTAGGTGGATCTTAAAGTCTTAGGAGTTCTGAGTGACTTTGAAATGTTACTGGATCACTTTCTGCCAACCAAGTCAGGAGGTTTTCCGTATTGAACCACTAAAAGTTGAAAACTTTTAGAAAAGGGGAGCAGAAAGCAACCGAGAAGAGGTTGGGAGGTTGGGTTCATTAGTCTAGGTCCCCCAGCTAGGCGTCCTTTCTCACCCTTTTTTTGGTTGGGAGGGTTCCCCTGCTAAAATGGACTACAGAAAAGAATCAGGTTCTAACATCTCTACTGGAGCTAGTAGTTATGAATCAAGAGCAAGTCTTCCAGAACAAGTGGGTCTTCTAAACTGCTTAGCAGTTTACATTTTAAGGGGCTCTCAAAAGCCAACTCTATCGCATGCTGGTGATCCTTCTGAACCACCCTGTTCAAACGTGAAAACCTTGGCTTTAACCCGCCTGTTCGGGGTGTTAGCTTGAGGCATGTTGAGTGTTTTTTGCTACATAGCACATACCGCGTCGCATCGCAGGAGCTGGCTGCAGACGGACATGGCGAAGGCCTTCCTCCGCGCGTATGGCGCTTCGGCGGTTTGAACAAGGATCGATCCAGTAGACTCAGTAGATCCTGTATACTCTGTGTGGTTTCCGGCCATCCGTTTACGGGGAACTTTGGTTTTGAGGTGTTTGGTTGGTTTAGTGGTGGAGGATCTGTATTGAAGCCGAAAAAGTGTGCGACTTTTGGCAGGGGATCTGAGGACAGCCCAGTATTATGTGTGCCAATGTTATTGCGGCTCGCAGAGTGGGGGGGGGTTAAACGAGCTCACTATGATGTAGCTTGTTTAGGTTTTGGAATTGTAGAGTATACAGCTTAGCCCTCCTTAGTCTGCTTGAAGCGTTGCGCGATCTTTTCTGCTGCTAGTGGGGTTCCGAAGTTGGGCATGTAACCTGAAATACCTATTATATGGTGATATCCCTCCCTCTATAGAGGGAGAACTTCACACCAAAGAAGGACAACGCTACCTTCTTTAATACGTGTTCAACGGAAGTGGACAGGAGGCCTGATTTGTTTGGTCGCAAAGCCTTTTGTTCCATGATAGGGTAGCGCTTCCATGGTGCCATTGGGACTACTGCAAATGTTGCCCTCGTTGCTCATCCTGCTTTGTTTGTTGGAACCCAAGATTCAGGTTGTCTCAAAACTGGGCAACCTTAAAACATTGGAGCTGTTCCTTTGCTCTTTCTTTTGACCAACTCCACAATGGCTAAGAACAAAAAACCCGAGCCCCGCCCGTTTCAATACCAAGCCAACCATTTGGTAGCCTCCATAACCTCACAAAAAGGATACCCTCGAAGGGCATACCCTCCCTCCACCCCGTTGGAAAGACTGCAAATACCAATAAGTACCAGTAAATACCAAGCACCGCACGAAGGCTGTAAGGTTTTATTCCAGGGGCCTTCGAAGTGAAGGAGTTCCTGCCAACCCCATTTCGAGGGATCCCTCGCGATTCAGCCCGAAATGACTTGCGGGTTCCTACTGTGGGTGGACGAACTCCAATTCGCACCACTTGGAAACCATGGTTGCACCATAATGTTTGTTGGAAATTACAGGGGAATCATCATTCCAGGGGTTCTTAGTCCAGGATTTTGTTACCGCAGTATGTTTGGTCTTCTTTTTTCTCAAGGCTGGTCACCGATATGTCCACTTGCCACTTGCCCCAACCAGAAGCTCCGGACCCGAACCGGAGCCCAGGAAAGTCTCGTGCTCTGGTGGCGGAGATCACGCCTGAGGAGGTGGCTGAGGCCCAGAAACGCTCAGTTTCTGCCATCGGTTGGCGGTTCTCAGCCATGTGGGTGTGGGTCAAAGTCAAACCGCTAGGGGACCGCAGGTTTGAGTCCATGTTTCCAGTGAGGGTTCCGTGTCAGGCACCTATTTTGCACCCACAGCCACGTGGTTCTCTTGAGTGATTCGTGGGGTTTATCGCGGACAAAATCTATTTCGCACCATCGTTCAGAAACTCAACGGAATGAGTCCTGTAAGTTTCAACAAACGCTATTGGTTTCCCATGGTTTTGAAAGTGGTAAAGGACTTCGTCCATCCATAGTATCAACGAACTACTACAGTTTAAGCAAGAAAGTTTAAGCACTACAAATAGCACAGGGAGTGACAGTGCGTCTCACCAAATTACCATTGGAAAACAGGGGATGGGTCTCGGACATTTCTGCCGAGTGGCTGGCATTTGTTCGTTTTCGGATTTAAACGCAGTCCCCAAAAAAGGAGTCCCTTTTGTGACGAACTCGCATAGCAGAACCTGGCGGATAGTTGGACAATTGCAGCTCCGAACCTGCATCCAGGGAACATTTACCTGCGTTAGGGTAAACGTGAAAATTGCGCCAGAGTTTACCAAGCCGTGCGCGTGCTGCTTCTGTAATAAACAACCTCACAAAGAATTCTCTCCCTCAAGAAACAACACACTGTTGCAAAGACTCGTGAATCACCCGAATCTGTTTGCAAAGGGAAACCACCAGAAATTCAACCAGTTTAGGGGACCCCAACTTCTTCGAGAAACCCCGTATGGCATGGTTCACCCCCTTTCACCCGGCCCCTTCGTTGCAGCTTTAGAAGTTTTTTTCAAGACACCCCCTGAACCTTTTTCCCCCGAAATCCCGCCAGCCCCTTGGGTTGCAGGTCTTTGTTCCCCCCACCCGGTTTTTGTCTTCCCCAACGCGCCCGCCACATCGAACCAGGTGGTTCAGGTCTGCTTCCCCGAGATCCAGCGGGCGGTGCTGGTGGAGACCATCGCCACCTACCAGCGCATGGGCTGCTGGCAGGGCACCGAGGCCATCTCCACCCAGAGCTACGAGACCCTCGGCGCAAGCGGTTCGAGCGCGGTTCGAGCGCGGTTCGGTCGGCGTTGCGGTTCGAGTGGGGTTGTTCTGGGAACCGGCGGGGGAGGCGGGGGTCTCTCGTTTTGTTGGAGTTGTGGTGTTCTTGTGTGTGTGTGTGTGTGGTGTTGTTGCTTGTGATTCTGTGGAGGTGGTACTCTTTTGAGGTTGTTGCTGCTATTGTAGAGACTCCAGAAGGAAAACGAGCTCACCCCATGTGTTTGGGGGTGCCAACCCGAGTTTCATGACAGGCGGCTCCGCAAGGCGAAGTTGTAAGACGAGCCGAGAGCGGGGAAGCAGCCATTTTTGTTGAACTTTGGAGACAGACAGACCCAAGGAGCCGTTTGAAGGAGAGGAATTTTGGGGCAAAAACGAGTTTCTGGTTGCATTTACCGGCTGATTTAGAGGATCCAACTCCAGCTGGCTTTTGCATGGATCCCTAGAAACCCAAGACCGCATCAGCCAGCTTACCGTCTGAGACTTGGAAGCAGAATGCCGGAAAGGGGAGCTGGTTCCTTGGGGAAGATTGCTGGGGATGGTCAAGACCTATGTCCTTGACTTGTGAGTCCTCGAAATCTTTGGTTTGGCCTTGAAACCTTGAATTGATCCCTGTGGCTATGATTTGCAAAAAGGGCTCCACCTCAAAAGCGGTTGCCGGACATGAATCCCCACATAAAAGGATGTCCACCGAAGGGTCCTCTAGTAAGATTCATACCCTGGATGTGAATCTTTGGCTTGAACCCCTGACAAAAAACAATGTGGGAAACCAGCGCCCATGGGGCTTGACCTTCAGGGTCTAAACAGACCCTCACGAAAAGCTTCCCTTCGGTGTCTTCGTATACCTCTAGGGGATGACCTTCCACGGAAGTAGCCTTTCCACTCGATCGGAACTGAAGGCCAGCCTTCCTTAGGGCCTTTGCCAGAAGGGAAGACAAGTCCCCTCGGCACAGGGGCTTGAACACGGTCCCCGGCTGGGGTACCTGATCTAAGGTGATGTGCGTGCAGCCTTCAAGGAACAAGAATGAACACGAGTCCAGGAGCCCTTTTATCGTTGGCATTTCCCGAATGGGGACTGTTTTCATTTGCCTGATGTTCATCTCAGCCATCAGCACCAAGTCAAGTACCCTCCCGTCGTTCGCGAGCATGGAGCCGAACTGAGGGGTCCTAGAAGACCATGGTCCTTTAAAATTGACCATTTGGTGGATTCCGTGCGTCCGCTTGGTCAGGAGCTTGGCCTTGTGTTGCATGGGTTGCTCTCGCTGGAGGAGTTTCAATCAGGTTCCTTCCGTGAATCGATTGGAGTGCATCCAAATCGATCAGATTGAGAACGGAAACCGCAAAAAGATCCTTGCTTTGTGTGTGTGTGTGTGTATGTGTGCGGGTTTTTTTCTCCGGAGTGGGCGTCTCTCAAACAGGAAATCGGATGGTTTACGTTGGGCTTCGCTTTGCCAACCAAATGCCTTTTGAGAAACTCGCAAATGAGGACGCTGCTGGACGCGTTCATGTACGCGGGAGTGATCACAAAGAGGCGGTCTTCTGATGGCTATCCGGGGTAAGGATGTTGGTTTTCCAAAACCCGGCAGAGAACAGCGGGCCCATTTGCGCCTCAAAATGCAGGTGCTAAACATCCGAGAAATCCCTGCTAAAGGCCAATTGATGGGAAACCGATGTAATTTGTCCAAGGGAAACTCACAGCAGGGAATAGGGGCCGTGCATCCACTGAATGGCGAACTGGATTTGTATTGCAATTGGATAGGATATCCTCACTTCAGTCCTTTGGGAAAGATCACTGTTAAGCTGAGGCTTCAGGAAGTGAGTACTTCCTGTAGCTGACTTGCCCAAAACCAAACTGTCAAACGTTGAACTTTGTTGTTTTTGTTTAGTCTTTGGGAAGCCCTTTTTGTTGTATCACAGAAGTCGGCATTTCCCACAGCCCTGTTTAAAGGTGGCTTCAACCAAAGTAAAAATTTACCACTAGGACAGTAGGTGTCTTCTTGGTTTCGCTTGGCAAACCGCCAGAACACAACGCCAGAAGCCGAGTTGTGCGTTGATATGGCCATGGGCCAAAATCCAAAGCCCGTACCCCCAGTGAAAATCCGATTCAATCCAACTACGAAAATGGGTTCTACAATGGGTGAATTCACCTACCCCAAAATGGGATCCCATTGGTTTTGACCCACAGCCTACTCATGTTGGGCATAATGTTTGATATACTAACGTTGAGTCTCGTTCACGTCCACCCCCCAACGGAGGTTGGGTAGAGAAGACTTCTTGCAGTCAGCGACGACCTTTTGACCACCTTCTGGACAGACAGAAACGCCAGCACGAGGCGTGCTTTATGTCCAGGTAAAATATCAACCTTGCACTTGCAAATAAGGCGCTTGGCGTGCTGTGACCAAAGTTGGGACGTTCAGCTTCAGGAAGGGTAGAGTCTTTATAGAATCGTCAAAGATACTTAAGTGTCTCACAATGTTATACACCTCTTGTGTGCCAGATGCTGTATTGTTTGCAAACAGTTAAGATGAACACTTCGAGGGGATGGATATGGGTGTATTTGTAGGGGACCATCAAATTGTGTTTGTTCCAAAAAAAAATCGGTACCCTGCAACACAGACACACCCATGTATGTATTGGCTTTTGTGCAGACCCCGGTCTAAGAGTGGAAGCTATGTAGCCCTTTGGTCAATCCCCATGGTTCGGTTCCCATATATTCCCTGTTCACCCAAGTGGATTCGGTCCCTGCCACGCAGGCATCCTTACGACGCAGCCATCGCGCTCATGGAGTGAAGGGAAACATTGGCTCGCAGAAAAAGCGAGGCTCCAGCTCGGATGTCGTGACCGCAGATTCAAGTAGAACCAATTTGGGTTGGGTGTTTCCTCGGAAAGAAACCGTGTTAGTCAACCACTTGTTCCCGGATTTCGGTGCTGTGCCCTGTTGGTGTTCAACATCTGGTGGAAACAGCGGTTGGATATGGGTGTTGGCGCTGGCTCGGCAGGTGGCATGTCTGAATTTGGGTGTCGATGCCGATGGTCGAATGTCCTTTGGCTTCCCAGAGACAGCCTTCAGCTCAGCTCAAGGAGCAAATAGATGTCCCAGCTTCGTTGCCAGATGTTTTGGCGCCAGATTTTCCTCCTTCCACGGGGATGCCCCACCGGCTGCCATGTGCTTCTTTTGTTCGGGTCGCACCCCCCCCCCCCCCTCATTTTGCGGGCGCAGTGCCCAATTGCTACAACCTGACGTGAGTTTGCTCAGAAGTAGATGGCAATTCCTGACCCCTCGATTTTCAGCCCAAACACCTTTTTGAAGCCCAGGCTGGACCAGATGCAAAGAGCAAGCCGCAGCCTTAGCCCGGGTAGTCGCTCAAAGCCCGGGTTTGCTTTCCCCTCAAACGGATGGGGCGTGGATCAGATTCCTTTGGTGTCCAACTTGAGATTGTTTGCTATTTGTCGTTCACCCGAAAAGGTGAGATTGGGTAGTGCTAAATATGCTGGTGGGTGTGCAAAAGGGCCGTTAAACTTCTGTACCCATTGGGCCCAGATGCGCTGCGCGATTCAGTTGTTGCCAACCTGAAGCAAACAGTTGAATGCAAATCAGCAAGTGGAAGCACATACCCTTGGTCACATCGTTTCAAGATGCTCAGTTTTTGCACAGAGTCATATTGTTCCGACCCTGCGAGTGCATTTGTTGAGCCCAAATCATTGGCTCTTCGGTTGCCAGGGAGATATAGTAGAACCGCCGCTGCTCGGGTGCTGTTTGAGGTGCTGGTGACGGTGCGGGCGCATTTTTGCGAGATTGATGGGCAGGGTGCTGGGGGCACTGCAGCTGTGCTTTGGGGTGCTGTTTGCTGGTGAGGCTGCGGGCACATTCTTGCGGGATTGGCGACTGGGCTGTTTGGGGTGCTGTTCGGGGTGTTGTTGGATGCTGGTAACGGCACAGGCGCGCTTTTGCGAGATGGACGGTAGGGATAGGGGGCATGCAGTGTGAGGTGATGCTGGTATAGGTGCAGTGTTTCATTTTCTCCCCTGTTGGTTTTCAAGAGAAACCTCCATTTGCTTAAGAAAATATTTGTATTTTCCCTTGTTGGTTTTAAAAAGAGTTCATCACTACTGGAAGTATATTTATTTTTTCCTGGGGCCTTAACCAAATGGAAGGAAACGATTTCACTATTGAAAAGATGTTCTCATTGCTTCCAGGGCACAAAAATTCCAAATGGAGGGCACCCCAGTTGCATCAGCCAGCGCCAGGCTGCGCTTCCGCATACTTTGCGCCAGCCTGAGATCTCACGCCAGGGCTCACGTGAGCGCCTGTGAAACTCCAAACTCCAAAGAGGGTGGCGCCCCCAAAATGACTGGTTTCTTTTGCGGAACCCCAAAATGGGGACCCTCCAAAAAGCCACACACACACAGAGATGTCCAAGTGTTCAGGGGACTCTTTCAGAGATAGTAAAAAATCCTTTGTGCCAAAGCAGGGAGCCACCAAAGTGCGCAGAAGAATCAAAGCTTGAACCGGCAGGTTTGAGGGTTTGTGTTGCTTCTGCACCCATTACGGGTGTTTCTCAAGATTCGGGAACCCTCCAAGTGCTTGGAGGCTCCCCGATTTTGAGAGAAAAACCCATACAGCTAGGGTCCAACTCGACATAGGTAAGGAGAAAAGCGTGCGAAGGGTCCACTGGATTAAGCAACCAGCTGCCCAAAAGGGTCACCAGAGTTGACAATCCTTCAAAAGCCCTTCCTCCCACTACAAGTCATGAACCCTCCTGGAAGATCATTTTTTCTTGACCCTTTGTTAGATTTAGAGGGGTATACCATGGCAATCCATACTCGGTCCCCAAAATCAGACCCCTCTGTGCTGGTGGATGGAACTATCGAGCTGCAAGCCAACCCCTATCTTTCCAAGAGGTTGTTTTTGTTCAAAGATGCTTAGTGGAATTTCCAAGTGGAGCTTCAGAAACGCCTCGAGATTTCATCACAAAAAAGTGTTATGTCCCCTTTGCTTTTGAGCGTGTGGGGGCTAAAGGCTGTTGCCTTTTTCCTCGCAACAGCCCTCGGCACCCCTGATTTGATTGGTTCCCTTGAACTGGTCTAGGCCATACTGACTGCAAGTCGCCTGGGTGCGAAAGACCACTTTCAAGGCATTTGCGCCATCCCTTTAGCTCATACAAACCAGGTGCAGAACTCCAGCTTGCAGCCTCTGCAGTTGCTGGAGGCCCTGCCTACCCGCCCCGACAACAGTGGACCCATGGCTGTGGCAAGCTAGGTGGTGGGCCTATGTTCTGTGACATTCAAGGCGACATTGCACATGGTACCATAGAAGATTGTCCATCATGTCGAGCCTCCTAAGACCCGCTCCTCAAGTTTGTTTGGGGTACTATGCCTACAAATAAGGCCAGTCACAGCTTGAGTTTGGACCCCCCGAATGGGTTTTCGCTGGAGCATTCGCGTTCGCTCGAGCTTTCCTTACGCAAAGGCCAAGTTGTTTACACACGCGTGCGGAGACCCTAGAAAGACGTCGTAGAGATGAGCAAGGAGCACATGACCGATTTACTCCCATCCAGCGTCAACATGTGGTGAGGGCGAAGCAGATTGGGGATGGACCCTGTTCTCTCAGGATCGAAGCGCTGTCTTTCCTTTGACGCAGGCAAGTAGGCTTGTCGTTTTCCTTTGTGAGGTTGTTTAAAGGGACGTGGCGCGTCTACGAAGCTATGCCTGACCTGGCAACATGTCTAAGACAACGCAGTGTGATGTCGAGATGTCGGTAGCATCTGCGCTGCCTTGGAGGCTCATGCCACCGTTTAAAAAAGGGTGCATGAAGAGGGTTCAGCCGCCCAAAAAGCTGTATGTGTGTGTGTGTGTGCGTGGGTCAAAGGGCTGTACGCTAGGTTCAGATGGCGGGTGGAATACGGGACGCCTACAATTTGCGGGCTTCCTTTTTTTTTCAAGCTTGTGTACGTATTTAAGATACCCCCCGAATGGACCTGTTGCCAATCTGTTTTTGTTTCTAGTTGTTTCACCTTTTTCCAGCAACCTTTTTTAGAAAAGTACCGTCAACACTATCAACGCCGAACCAAATGATCTAACCCCCCCCCCTTTGGCCCCGCCCCCCCCCCGCCCCGCCCAGTGCAGGTGTATATTTTGGATTGTCCAACTGGCTGCCAGAAGCTTTGCAAGAACGCGTTTGCTTTGCGCAGGCACGCTGTGCGCCCTCGGTGAGGAAGCTGCAGGCGGGCCGTAAGGGGGAGCGCCTTGCACCTGTTGCTGTTCAGTTCGATTTTGGTGACTTCTCAGTGCCATTTGATCAACTTCAAAGGGGGTGAAATTAGATGGCGAAAACGCCCGAGGTAAGTTGGGCCAAGCAGAATGGGATTGTGCCATCTTTCAGAGTGAGGTTCCTATGAATTGCCACTGGGCCATTTTGGGGTTGGTTAAAAACAAAAAGGAACAGCTCCGATTTGGTCAGGCCCAGTTTGGCGACTGGGTTCCCAGAAACTGATCGGAACAGGTGGAAGAAACGATTCTTTTCCACGGATTCCGCTTCTCCCGCAACACCAACTACGTGTTTAACCCTAGGGAACCTCCTTAGGACTGGGGAGGCATGAGCCGGCAAAACGAGCTCCCCAATGGGTAAAGAGAGCTCATGCAGGATGAAGCTCCGTCAGTTGGGGATTCCCAGATGTTTTTTTTGCAGCAATTTGCCCTGACAACCTTGCTGCCAGGCTGCCAAACATGTTTGTTTGCCGGGCGCTTTGCGAAGCGCAGAGAGAAAGTAGTCTGTGATCATTCCCGCTGAGCTTCGAACTTCGAACTTCAGTCCCCAAGAATGCTCCTTTCAATTAGATCGAAGGAGGCATCGCTTGGACCGGTGTTTTTTTTCACAAGAGAACCTCTCGAAATGTTTGCTCCCGGGGAAAGGGAGCCCTGGAAAAGGGGCAACGAAGTAACCTGTATGTTAAACGGAGCTGACCATGAGGTAGGTGTGTGTGTGTGTGTGTTTCCTTGCTTGTTCGTTTCTTCGTGTCTTTGTTTGCTTGCTTGCTTGCTTGCTTGCTTGCTTGCTTGTTGAGGGCACCTTTGGGGGGGTCAAGAAAAACGAACAGGAAACCACCTACGTTGCCCCCCCTATTCTGACACATACCAATGTAGGAGTTTTCACTTGGGACATGATGTTTCCGTCAAAGTCACTCCGGAAATAGTTGCAAGAGAGAACCCTCAAAGTAGGCGGAAAAAACTGTTGGTTTCCTTCCCTTCCCATTTTTCGGCGGGCCTTCCGCGCTTTTCGGAGCTCAGGTGGCGCTGCCTGACCTGGACCTAGGGGACTTGGAGCTCCGGCTGCTAGAGGCCATTCGGGGGGGTCCTTGTTCGACGTGGGGAGGAGTGATCATGTCAAGCCATTGGCTCAACCCAGTCAGTGAGTTCTCACGGCATGTTGCCACGCTCATAGCGCCGCCTGTTGGAAAATCGAAAGCCTGTGCTTGTGAGTGCCCAACTGGTCCTGTAGATGTGGCGAGAATTATCCAACCGCTGAATCCGGAAAACTCGCAGCGAAAGCCTCTCGGCTCGAAAGTTAATGATCCCAGCGGTTGACTCCTGGTCATTTGGGTGGGTAGGGCAAAATGTGTTTATTGGAGCCCTTTTTTGGATCTTTGGACATTTCATGCCGAATCCAAAGTGCATAGCGCCCCCTGTGGCTTTTTGTCTATGCCATGATCCAAACTCCCCAAAAATCAGAGCCAAAACACCCCTCCAAATATGGGTGTGGCTCAAAATGACAGACAAAAAGATCTTAGTCCTTGTTTCCATGTCCCAAGGTGCCATGTGGCTGTGGGTCAAAACCAATGGGATCCCATTTTGGGGTAGGTGCACCACCCTTTTCAGTTCACTGGGGGTACGATTTGGATTTTGACCCATGGCCACGTCGGTTCCCATTTTTTTGAAGCCACGGCCATGCGCCAGGCCGGGCAGGAGCTGCTCTCGAAGCTCTACGCTGCCTTCGGGCAACCCGCCGCACAGCTGGTGGACGGCTTCGTGTCCCAACGAGGCGCCGCTTCGAAGCCGAAGCCGAAGCGACGTGGGCCAAAGCGAAACGGGATCTCACCTTTGGGTTGTGCCTTCTTGCTTCATTCTTAGCCCCGAAGGGTGAGCGATCACCCACTCTTTCTGGGTTCCCTAAGGGGCATTGAGTAAAAGCTGTCCCTGATAGCTGGGTGCTGAATAGACCATACCGTCGTTTCATTTCAAATCCGTCGTTTCGATTCAAAAGTGTTTTTTGGGAGCCTCGCTTCCTTCCATAGTTTTCCCGGAGCGGGCAGCGTATTCAAAGGCAGGGAAATCCGCTTTTTGACTGGCAAAATCCGCGTTTTGACCCGCAAAATCCGCTGCTTTGCGAAACACTCATGAGTGCAGAATTTGCAGAATTGTCCAAGATTCCATGATTGTCAAAAAGCGCTCGCGAATTTGAAAACACTCGCAAAAGTCAAAGCATTTGTTTCTGAAAAGGCACTTATTTTACACACAATGGAGGTTCTAGGTATGGTTGATTTCCTAGACCCCCTATTTAGCATTTGGAGAACCGAAAGGAGTGGGTCTAGGGTTGGTTGGGATTGCCGCTCGGGTTTCGTGACCAACACCCGGCCACGCGCCATGCGGCTCGCGAGGCCGGGAGCTTGTGAACGACCTGCTGCGACAGTCCCTGGCGCGCCCGCCGCGGCCCCGAGCTTCGTCGCTGCGTCAGCTCCGTCGAGCCGGAGCCGCGATTTTGTGTGGGTCCCCCAGTAGTGCCCTTTTACCTTTCTTTGGGGGAAAGTTCCCCTACTAGAATAGACTCAGAAAAAGGGTACTCTAGCCTCTCTACAGGAGGATATAGTTGTTTTTGCCGCGGCCCAATCCCGTGATCTCCTTCAAGAAATTGTGTTCGAGGCAGACCAAAAGCGGAGCAGAATCTGAACGAAATGCTTTTGGTGTAGCCAAGGTCCGCCCAACCTTCCTTCTAGAGATCCTTTTAACCAAACAGTCTGCTTGTATGTTTCTGCGTTCCAGTCTCATATTCCTCCCGAAACATGTAGATGTTTGCCGTCACGCTTGCCTGCTTAGGATGCCCTTTTTCAGGCGCGGCAATTGATTCTTGGGCAGCAGCATTGGAGTCGTAAAAGGTTGACGACCTGCGGCAGTAGATCCCTTCGCAAGTCATAAGCTCCTCGACGGAGAGAACTTTTAATAATGTTTGTCAAGGCTGCTTTTGTCCCTTGATTCCGTACTCTCTGATTCATTTTTGGCGGTCCCTAGATTCAGGGTTTGCCTGATCCAGACTCACTGCAAGTTTTGCGTCAGGCGAAAATGCGGGGCGCTTCTGCGCTTGCGGTGCTTTTTGTTTCCCTTCACAGTGAGACAGGCGCCATCTATGACGTTATATGTAACCGACCAGAAAGGTCCTCAAAGCTCGATCAGAACCTGATACATCTTTTGGGGGCATTGGGCAAGGAAAACTTGGCAGTCGGGAGACCTCTGCGAGAATCCGAAAGCCCGGTCTTTTTCTTGGGCCTCGCAAAGGGGCCTGAGGGATTCATGAACCATTTGGTCACCTTGAAGCTGGCCCCTTTCGCAAGTTGAATGGTCACTGTTGTGGTCACCTTCGAAATTGAGCCTTCCGTGTCTTTCTTTCTAAATGGCCCTTTTACGTCACATTTCATAATTGCTCCTCTTATGCAACCTTGAAAATGCCGTTGCGCACCTTGCAAAGGGTTTCTGTTGTGTCAACTTCAAACTGGCCTCTGTTGGGTCACCTGAGAATGGTGCTGTGCCCCCTTTTGACCTTTCAACATGGCGCCTCGTTTGCGTCACCCAGATCCTGCCTTCAAGACGTGCTTCCAATTCAGCACCTCTACAAGTCAAATAAGGGCGCTTGGGGTAACGACTGCTGTGGTGCATTTTGCTTGGATGTTAGGACTGTAACTTTTTGCCAACTAATTCGTGTTTTAATGTGTTTGTTTGTTTAATTAAATCATTAAAAGTAGCAGAAAGTAACCGAGGACTGCTTTAACGACTTGTGTCGCCTTGCAATTCCAAGGTTGGACTGCCCAGCGTCCAACTTCTCCTCGGGGGAGCTAGGCGCGTGAACTCTCGGCCAAGGGCTGACATGTATGAACCCAGGCCAGTTGCTTTATCCTTTCTCCTGCTTTGTGAGGGGCGTCCCGTGGTCTCCCTTCAGAAGCTACCAACAAAGACATCCGTGTTTGGCCCCGTCCCTGCACTGTCCGGGCTTCCGGGTGTGGGCAGACTACGTTTTTGGTTTTAGTACATCGACCCCGCAAAATTGGCTTGTTTCCTGTTGCTCCTTTACAAAGCAAGGCTCAGACAAATACAGTACATCAATATTGAAAGGAACAAAGGAAAGAGAGCCGACCATTGGGGACCGAACTTCATCTGAGCCCACAATCAAAGCTCGGGTGGTGTCGCCGCCTCTTTAAATCTTTACTATACATGGTTCTGGAATGACGACCATTTTAATACCGGGTGTTGCTTGGATGGTCAACCAACGTCAGGTAAGTCGGGAATAAACATGGCAAGGACGATCACCCCAGTTACCCAAGTTACTCTCGGAAATCGGAAGGCTGTGCTTGTGTGTGCCCAAAATGGTTTTGGGTAGACCATTTGAATATCAGATTTGTTTTTGCACCGCCTTTCCCTAACCTTCAATTTTGCGATCCCAGCGTATGACCTGCTTTTTTCCCCCAAACGAATAGGGGTGTTTTTGTTTTTGAGTTGGGGGGCCAGCCTGGGGCCGACGTTTCCTCCGGATTTTGGGGTGTCAGGTGCCATCGAGACCCCGGCGGCCTGGACCTCTGCAGCGCTGCTCTCGGTGACCCTGGGCCTCCTCCTCGCCGGGGGCCCCAAGTCGGCGGCGTCCAACTTGGAAGAGATGCGAATCTGAAACCCGTGGCTGAAACCATGGTTTTTGGTCATTCCAGGGTTTCTTAGGTGCGAAACGGTTTTCCCAGCCCTTTCGCGTTTGAGTTGGTGTGGCAGTTGTGCGGTCCCCCTCTGGCCTTTTAGCGGCTTTATTTTGGTTTAATGCTAGTTTGTCATTCAGCTTTCGCTGGGGGCCCAGTGGAGGTTCCCCAAATCCTGGGTGCCGTTGATCGATGATTTTGAAGTGGATGGGCTTCATTGGTTTAGATGGGGTCTTCCGGTGGCTTGTGACGCAGCTTATGGGCGAGCTCTTTCCGGAGTCTCCTCCATGAGCATATTTTGTAGACTCAACTGGACCAGAACCCCGCTGCTCCTTCTCGGAATGGCCAGACATCCCCATTGGAACAGTCACGCAGATTGACATGGGACCCAAAAAGCCGTCATCGTTTACAACTAATCTCATTTGGGCCACCTTTTTGGGGTTCCGTGTTAATCTGCAGGGGGCAGGTGGTATGAAAAAAAGAAAAAGCAATAGGTGAAAAGAATTGGGGGTCAACCTTCAGAAGGGAGCAGCAAATGACTATAGCGGATAGCCCGGGCTTCTTTACCTACCTACGGTTTTACCATGGATGGTTTCCCCCAATGATCTTCATTGGCGAAACACCTGGACCGGCAGCAACATACACGGGCACTGGCAGGAAGGGACCCTTGGAAGTTGCGCTTAGCCGAAAGCTTTGGGTTCTTTGCCTATGGAAGTGTGAGCAGAAAGCTTCGGGTTCCCAACCGAAGCGAACCCAAAGCTTCGGGTTCCCTGTCGCGACTTCCCTGAAGCCCACTGACGGTTCTGCCCTACCCTGTGATTGCTCAGCCCGAGCCCGGCTAAAGCTCGGCCATAGATTCTATTGCTGTGGTGAATTACCTAGGTCCCCCAGCAGTGCCCGTTTACCCTTTTTTGGGGAAGGGTTCCCCACTAAAACAGACTACAGAAAAAAGGGTACCCTTATTCTAACCTCTCTACTGGAGGACCTAGTTACAGTTGTTTGCCCTGCACCAACAGACATAGTGCGTCCTGAGGTACACCTTTGCCTTTTCCTGCGAAGGCGACGTAGGGATTTGACGGGAGGACGTCGGGTGAGTTCCAAACAAATGGACCCCTTCGCAAGCTGGGGGCGGGTTCTCTTTTAGGGCTTCTATTTTGGGTGTTTCAGGGAAGCCAATTGCTTGAGTATGTGATAGAACAAGATCATGTGTCTCGACTTCCTATTTCAGATATTTCAGATCCGCGAATACTTTGCATTCGTTGTATCATTACATGGAAAAGCCGAGTCCAAAAGACTGAAATTGCGGCACCTTCCCATATTTCCCATTTGGAGGGACTTGCGCCTGGCCAATTCTGGTCGGTGTGGTTCAGGGTTCAGTGGCCATGCCCGCGTAAAGCCCGCAATTAGTGACCTTTCGCAGGACTCAGATTCTGGCAGGCAGCATCCCTTCGCCTGCCTTGTTATCCTGTCACCTACGTATTGAAACCCTTTTTATGGGATGCGATGTCTCACTTTCCACGTGCTCCTGGGTGGAAGGAGGTGAAGGAGATAGACGGACCTCCAAAAGGCGGAAGAGAAAAAGCAAAATGCTTGGGTTTGAAAGCAAAACCAAAAGGAAACCAGACATTTCACTTGGGTCCGTTTATGTCTCGGGCAGAGCTGCGCCCGTCTTTATGCATGACGGGAAGAGAAGGGAACCTGGACACCCAGTGGTGCCGTTGTCCTTTTGTCGGAGGGAGATTCCCCGTATATTATTTAATGCCTAAGAAGGAATGCCCTTTCTTATCAGGGCTGGGCGTTTGAGAGTATGAACTTTAGCCAAAAGACGTCCTTTCTTTCAGCGTGGGCATTGATTGAATGGGTTGGCAGATTGGTTGGGTCAGCATGAAAGGGCATCGTCAACATGCCCTTTGTGAAGGATCTTGGGCATACTGGCCAATAGTTTTCACTTCCCAGCTTGTGGGGATTTACGCAGATTCCACTAAGCTCGCCGATAGGGAAACAGACAAGCTGAGCATTAGTTATGTAGTGATATTCTTGTAGGGAAGACCATGTTAGTGGCATTAGACTTTTCAAGGCCCATGAGGAAGTGAGTATAGTATTGATGATTGGATGGTATTTGGGTATGTGTCGACATAGGACCCACACTAATTGGAGTTATTTTGATTTCCCTTGAAACCCACCCAGAAGAGGGTGCCATCAGCCAGCACACATATCACACCAGAGACCCCCCTTCCTTCTCCATTCTACACACACACACGCGCGCGAACGCGGGGGAATGTTTTCCAGACCCCCCAACTAAACCCGCATGGGCTAAGGCGATCCATGGGGCCTCGCCAGAGGCGCGACCCGCTCATTTTGCGACGGGAGAGGCTGTTCCTGGCCTCAGGTTACGAGCTGGTGGTTGGGCGGGAGCTAGGGAGCTACCGGGAGTTCTTTCAGCACGTGATAGATTATCAGATTAAATAAGAGCATGGAAGCAAATAAGCTAAATGGCATCCCTCCTAAACCACCCCAGCCAGCATGGTATGTGCATGCTTCAGCAGGGTATGAGCCCTACAGGTGTGCGGTTTTGAGTGTGTTATTTGTTGGGAGGATTCTGCAGACATGTTTCAACATTAGCAACAGCCACATCCGCTCTTGAATCTTGACGTCGCGAAAAATCGGAATTCCTCAGCCTGGTGAATGTCCACCCTCAGACCGACCTGAGAAGGGGGTTGGCATGCTAGGGGTTTAGCCGCGGGTCGGGGTTCTCTGGCAAGGGGCTCCAATTGGTCCCGCGCTCCAAACCCATCCAGGCCCCCCTTCTTAGAGTGCTCCTTGCTTCTTCGAAAGTGCTAAAAAGTCACAGGCTGGCAATGGCACGATTTGTTGTGGTCACATGGAAGTCCACATTTGGTGTAGCGTTGCCAGAGCCAAGTCAGGAGCACCTGGACGAGTTTGTGCGTGTGCGATCTCTTATGGAGTCAGCTCGATTGAACTGATCTGTGTTACCCGCAAAAACAATGAGCGAATTGGTTTTCCACAGCTGTTGGCTTGGATGGCCTGGACAGCTCAGGCGCCGTGGCTAATCTTTCCGCTCTTGGTTTGGGTTTAATGTTGGCTCAGCCACTGGATGATGCCCCTCTTCGACTAACCCACCTCTTTGCAGGAACTCCCCATGGTTGGCGCATTGCAACAAAGTGGGCGGAACCTTGTTCTGCACGCAGCCTGAAAATGTTTGATGAGTTTCGTTGCCGTCCCCTGACAAAATGCCCTTGACAATCCTGGCTTGGGTCTAGTGTCGTGGTTGTGTCAGACCTATATAAATCTTTACATGTGAGCAGAACCAGACATAGAGACTTTGGGCGCTCAAGCAGGTAGCTACCTTTCTGGAAATGCCTTCCCGGCCCGGTCAACCGGGTGCCGACCGAGCGCAGGCCGCTGGGCGACGGCTTTCTGGAGGCACCGGGTGTGTTTGCACTGAGGGGTTCTTACGCTAAGAGTCAAGGCTGGGTTAGATCGAGGTTTCGCGCTCAAAGTGTTGGCCCTGTGCGCAAAAAAATGTCTTCGATGCGACAATCTCGCGCGAAGCGCGGGGGGCGCATGGGCGGTGCGCTCTGGCTGTGGCGCCGTGCTCATTTTTCGGCTTTTGCTGACAGTGGCAATGTAAAGGGGCGCCTTTGTTTTTCAGGGAGCCTCACGCGAAATGCGTTTTTTGTTGCAATTTGTATGGACTCCTCAGGCGGGCGGAGGTTTTCGGGCAGCGGAGTGTGTGTTTTGAGGGGAAGCCTCGCGCCAAACACGAATTATTGAGATCAAAGTGCGTTTTTGATGGTAAGGCCACTAAGCGGTGGATGTTCTCCTTGTCGGGTCAGGCTGCGATGCTTGGACAACCGAACCTCCAAAACCACATGGCAATTTTTCGTTAAAAAAAATCTTGCGCGCGACAGCTTCGCATGAAACGGACCTTTCTTCAAAACAGTGCTCTCGCTGTAGCGCTGCGCTGATGTTGGATTTGTGTTTTCACGGCAGGATTCCACGACCAGCGCAGCACTCTGTGACACTGGCATGCGTTTTTGGTGGCGGCAGTATGTTCTGCGCTGATGCTTTGGGTTGCGTGGCACACACGGCGCAGAGTTTCGCACATTTGCAAGTGCGAGACGAAAGTGAACCCTCTGCGGAGGTCGTGCACGTCGAAGCGCTCTGGCTGTGGCGCCGCACGAATGTGTCTTGAGCTCGACGAACCCTCTGCGGAGATCTCGCGTATCGGAGCGCTCTCGCTGCGCGAACCCTCTGCGGAGATCGCGCATGTCGTGCCCAAACCCCCCGAGTATAAGCATAGGTCATCAGAACTCGCAGAAGCTACGCTTGAGCACGGTCATTGACGTGTTTACGATTTGTTGCTCAACACGTGGGAGAGGTGTCCGGGTTTATGTAGCGTTTGAGCCACCTGTCGTCAGATAAGTTTTGAGGGGGCATCCCTGCACTGCCCCATCGTCCCCGGGCCCCCCCCAACAATATTACGCACATGGGGGGGGTGGCCCCGGCTCTCATCCTCGGAGTTTCCGGACTTCTTGTTTTGCGGGTCACGATGTTAAGCGATGTTAAGCGATTTTGGGATAGAGTAGAAGTGTGAGGAAATCGACAAAGGTTCTGAGAACATTTCAGCATTGATCGGAGTTTTGAACCCTTCACCCTGACTTGCAAACCTGAAAGTCAAAGGGTTTCGTCCTGCGGTCCCTCCCAAGCTCTTGGTTGAAATCTGACCGAACTAGCAAGGAGATCGGACACTGACGCCAGCAACCTGTTGCCTCGAAAGGGTTCAAATTGAATACATTCGTGGGCGTCGTCGTTCCTGCGTGCCTGAATACGTCATGTGGAGAGAAGATGTTTGTGCACCAGCCCCGCACATGTCAAACGCAGCGCGGCAAGAAAGGCCAGCTCAGCGTGGGCTTCGCCCCTTGAATGTCGCTTGCAGCCTCGGTCAAAAGTTTAGGGCCGACGGGCAACAACCCCCCGCGCTAGCGAGCGTTGGCTTTTCATTTGGGCGGGTAGTGGGGCAATACGTGGGAGTAAGGTGGGGCAACAGGCGTCACGCGGCCTTGCTACATGTTCGCCAGGCACAGGCGCCAGGCGGAGAGCCCAGACTAGCCAGAGTTTGAACGGAAGACGCAGCCTTGTTCGGGCCTGGCAACAATTCCCAAAAGCCAATATGTTCAAGTCGCAAAGGCAAATTTCCTCACCGTTGCCCGGCAAAGCCCAGGCGAGGCTTCGCCACGAGGCGCTCTTCCTGCCGTTGGTTGGGGTGCGGAGCACGCTTTTAAATTTGCGCCGAATAGGTCTTGTTGATTGGTCAACAAACCCAGCCAATCTGCCGAAGTTTTATAGTCTTGAACATTCCAGTCAACATACCCCTACCCTCCTTTAGGGAAGCTGCCAGAAGGCAGTTGTCTCAAGAAGTCCTTTGAGCTTTGCCGACGCCGTAACAAGTGCAAGTTTTGTGGCTTGGCCCGAATTGCAAAAGCGATCGCAGAAAAGGAACCTCTTCGACCCCCAAATGGTGCGACATCAACGATCAACAAAAAAAAAGAGTTCGAAACAGGATGAACAATGTTTTTCAGACACCCGTTGCACGACCCCGGGTTTGCACTTTGTTTCCCGTAGTGCCTGTATTTGTGAGACACTCCTTGGCCAAGCGTGACCCATACCAAAACGTGTTGTTCCCTTTCTTGGTGCGGCCAGAAATTTGCTCTTGCGCCTTGCAACCAAAAATCGGTTGGAGAAACCTTCTGGCAGCCCTGCAAGACCAGCATGCGGCAAACTTGAGAGTTTGACATTGGAAGAACGGCAACCTTCAAAGCCTCCATTGGATAGATATCGATTTGTGGGAAGCCCTGCAGCATGCACAACCGTTCCCCAAACAGTTGACCTCCTAGCACCTCGCTCCCCTTTAGAAAGACTGGCTCGCCATTTTTTCATAACATCCCAGCAGCGCAACTCAAGGGAGCGTTTTCCATTCCGTTTGCGTGAGAGACTCCCTTCATTGACAAAGCTTAGAACGAGCGACCCAGCCGATTGCTGACTCCCGTGAAGGCTTGGGATGGCAACCAACCGCGATGCGCTCAGTGGGGGTGGCGCAACCTCTAGCGGCCTTGCAACCCCACATGGGTCTGTATCAAAGGGGAGCCCTTGTGTTCGTGTAGAACAACCCCAGACAAATGTGGCATTTACACCTGAATGGCAACACACCCATACTTCCCTGCCAGCTCGCTTCACATAGTACCTTGTTGGGCCAAGATTTGGTGAGTTTGCGTTGAGCGGGGTGATGTTCAAGGTGACGACGGAGTGGCCGTTTCACCAAGAGCGTGAAAGAGACACTTGGGGTATTTGTTGCAGGCGGTCTTGAAACACGAAGCAAGAAGCTGTTGACCCCGGTTGGAATTTTGAGGGAACGGCCCTTTTTTCAACCATGTGAAGCTTGACCGGCGCTTGCTAAAGCTAATGCGGCAACTTTGCTGCGCTAGTGAGAGCCCTCCAAACTTGAGCTTCTTTTAGAGGCGGAGCTTCCGATTTACCCAGGCTTTGGGGGCGTGGGCCCGCCCCCCGCAGTTTGGGTCTTAATGACTTTTGACTTTTGGCATTCCATCGAAGGTTGCTGTTCTTAGTATCTCGGCATCCCCTGATTCGCACATGTCGTTTTTGGGCTGGCGGGTTTCGCAGCAGCAGGCTGGGTTTGCCAGTAGCAGCCAATTGCTTTGCTTTTCGTCAATCCCAAGTCAAGCGGGGGATGGTCTTTGCTTCAATTTCCCCCCGTCTTTGGGGTGCACCATGTTGGGGGAACGCCGTCTCCGAGGTTTCGCCGCAGCTCCGGTGGGGCATGCTTTGTGGCATCTTGGATGCGAGTGCGCGGGTTGTTCGGGGGGAAAAAGCCCAAATGCCGGACCTGGTCACCAAAACTGTTCGATGTGTTCAGGGGGTAGGCTTAATATTGAGCAGAGTCTGAAAATACGTTTTCTGCGCGGATGCTGGATGTCCACCCATTGTCGTAAGTGCCTCATATCCCCAGTTCGTGCGCGTGCTATGTGGGGATGTACCCTACAGACTTCGGGGATCTGGGGATAACTACTTAAGTGGGGTTGTCTTCCGTACATACTTCCCTTGGATGCTTCAAACATCCACCCGGTTGGTGGCAAATTTCAAGTCGAAACAATCTTCCTTGTGGGTTGGAAATCGAGCCATGTGGGCTTCGGATTTCCCTCCACACATACCAACTCCAAGAAACAGGCCCTCTTTGTTTTTCGGCACTACCAACAGACTTGTCTTACCTTTCTGAAGTTCATGCTTTAGCTTTCCTTCACTTTTGAACATCGGAAGTGCCCAAACTGGTTGCAGGCTCGTGTTGGCTCTGAGGCATCGCGGGCACCACGGCCTTGTTCGTCTACGCCTCCGTGACCCCTGGGGTGCTCTTCGCAGGCCCAAAAACCGTCGGGCCTTGAGACGTCGGGAGAGCTGGATGGTGGAAAAACATCGGGGAGAGATGCGGGTGATTTGTGGGGATTCTCCCTGGTTTGACTGGGTCCCCCAGCAATTGGTGCCCTTTTACCAACTCTTTTGGGGGAGGGTGCCCCTACTAAAATAGACTGCAGAAAAAAGGGTACCCTTATTCTATCCTCTCTACTGGAGGACCTAGTTGACATGGAGCCCGCAGAGGATCCCTTTTTGCGGAACACTCGCTGGTTTCTAAGACTCCACTCACTTGACGCCAGTAAGCGCAAAAGAAGCTGGCGGGTAGATCACTTTGCGGTGTCTCGACTTGCACCTTGGACCCAGCAACCCCTCGACCTTCAGCGGCATTTACTCATTTGGAGTGGGTCGTCCAGGAAAAACGCGGGGGTGAAACCCCACTTGGGAATGAATGCAGTCGGATGCATCACCCTTTTGCAAGGGGAAAGGCGATGGGCCGAGTCTTGAAGAGAAAGCCACAGACTGCGTTTGCTTCTGGTTGGGCCGTTGCAGGCGCATTCGAAGCCTCCGGCATGAGTTCCGAGACCAAGAACATGGCGTCCCTGTCGGGGGTCTCAGAAGGGCCGAGAGATGTCCTTGGGTGTTTCAACCCTTGGCAGCTATGTGGAGATGATTCTTCAAGAGTTTGAACCTCGAAGTGGTGGACATGTATTTGTCTACCCAAGGGTCCCAAGTTAAGATTCAACCCCCGTGGTGGATCTTAGTCCTTCAGCTTCTGGAAGTGATGGTGTATTTTTTTTCTGTGCACCAAACCCTGTACCAAGCCTTGGGACGAGCGAGATGGAGTTCGCAGTCCCGGCCCCCAAAGAGTGCAAAGCCAAGAACGTGAGAAGGGGGAAACTCTGCCTGCTTGAGTGCATATCTTTGGCTTACCCAGGATTCACCGAAAGGAGGTCCGTTTAGAGAAAATGTCCAGACCCCGACAAGCTGGCACCCAGTTTCTATGTGAGTGATCCATGCTACTCTCGTAGAGCCGGAACAGCCGGATCTGAGGGAAGCCCGGAAGCAGGGAACGAGAAATGGAATGACCCTTGTAAACCATACCTTGTGGTTTCCTTTGAAGGAATCCCTGGGTTCATTCCCACATTTTTTCGCTGAGCACCAGCAAGTTGCCAGTCACAGTGAGCCCTCCGTAGGAGAAAAGCCACCGGGGAACAAGAAATGCCTGGATAGGCCAACGTTTGCAGGGGATGACCCAGAATTACACGCAGCTGCGCCAAGAACCCCCTTTTCACTAAAGTGCAATGGGTTTTGGGTAGACCCATTGAGCACCGTATTTCCATGACTCACCTAGGTTGGAAATTAGTTGGCTAGTTGGTTGACATGGTGTGTCCTTGCATCCCCACCGCTAAGTCAAATGCGCAGGACCTCCCCTTATGTCCTTTGCGGATGGGAATAATGCACAATTTTGTTTCCTGGTCGAATTGGGACAAATTGGGCAAAGGCGGCAGAGGCGAGGGGTTTTTCACAACCTTGCTCGTAGTTCAATTTTGTCAACCTAATAGTTGGGTACAGGTACCCTCAAAAAAAGAACCCCGTTCAGTATCTTTTGATGTTGGTCGAAGTCCCTGCAATACCTGACCTGGTTTTGTGTTTTTCTTCAGATACCCGTTTGGGGGTCGGCTTAAAGGAAACCCGAAAGGACCCGCAGATGGGCCAAGGTCCATGGACAACAGCCTGGTCTGCAGCTCAGGGTCCAGTTGGTGGTTTGGATCTGGATTTCAACGGGTCCCTGGTTGTTTCTGGGCGAATGGGAAACTGCTCCGGGACACCAAACCAAACCAAAGCACCAATAGCTGACACAATATGTCTGATTTACCCAAAGGGAAACCTAAAGGGGGTGGGTCTTCTTTACCTTTTGTTTGCCAGGCTATTTAGCACCCAGCCGTGAAGGTCCTTTGGTTCCCAGTCGAGTTCACCCACAATTTGCCCAGGGCCATTGAGTTGGGCTCTGCGGACCCTGGTGTTGAAGGGATTCCGCGAGAGGTTGCCTTCTGACCTGTTTCAAAAAAACTGAGCGTAGAACCAGTAGGGGGGGAAGGCCCCGGACTGTTAGGTATGACAGCCAGAATTGTTAAGCTTTTGCTGCTATGGCCGCTGAATTTGGTTTTCAAATGCCCCAACCCCTTCTGATACTGGGCCTTATGTGTATGCCTTTTAATTCTCCCTGGTGGCGAAGGGGTTTGAGACCCAGGTCATTGTCCGATGCGCTATTGGCTCTCCATGTCAGGCAGGTTCCCATTCGTGTCTCCGTTGTACCCTGCGGCACGGGATTTGGAAGACCGCATGTTCAACAGCGCAATTCGAAAAGTTTGGTGCGCGACATCCACATGAGAAAGTCGCAATGGCTGTTGATGTACCATGGGTTGCCGGTCGACTTGCAGGTTCTCGGAGGCAAATCGTCACTGATCATGTCGAAACGTTCAATTGGCGCCAACGAAAATGGTTTGCCTTTTGGGGCACCCTTGGACTTGGTGGGGGGCCAGGTACAGGGTGGGAAACAGATCCAGGAGTTGGCCGAGCTGCCAGATGACAGTCGTTTGATCTGATCCGAGATGTCCAATTCACAGTTTGTGTGCGGTTGAATCGGCACGGGGTTTGCAGTGCCTCTCTCACGCCTGACTCCGCTTGCTCAATGCCCGTCCTATCAGACGAGGCCCAACTGGCGTTTGGCACAATCCCCTCCCCTTAATTGCCCGAAATTGAGGGAAAGTCCGGTTTGTGCTGAGCTTCTGTCAACAATCCAATGTTCTTTTTGGTGGGGGGTTGCGTGTGCAGGGGCTGGAGGGGGGCGGGGGTGGGGGGGGGGGTTGAACTTGCAAACTTCATCACAACACCTGGAAATGCAAGCTTACATGTTTTGGGGTTATTCCAGGTCCTTTGCAACACCCGTTCAGACCAAAAAGTTTAATCTTACAATTTGGAGGTCTTTTTGAAACGATGTTGGGGTGTGGGGGATTTTGCGCACGTGTAAAGCCTTGCGCACATCTTGCAACAGGCTTAGACTCGTCTCACATAGAATTCCGGGCTTCCCTTTTGCTGGCGCCCGCGCCCACACCCCCGCCCCCAGCCCACCCCACCACGCCCCCGTCCGAGGTCCAAACATTGCACGTGGGGCATCTTGGCGGAAAACAAAAAGGTGCGGTCAGAAAAGGCGCACATCATGGTGGGTGAGCGACAATCAGGCCATCAGGTCAGTGTCACCTGGAGTACAGGCATATGGCTACTTATATACGTTTGTGTTGAGGGTGTTTTTTTGACAATCTACCATGGGGGGTGCACCCCTTTTTTGACACACACCGCTTTTTTGCACTTGATGTGATTTTGTCTTGGCGTAGCCTTTGATCTTGCCCCTCAGGGAGCCTGATTCATGACGAACATCCTGACTGCAGGTCAACTAAACCTGTGGCAATGAATGAACAAAACATGTCCTGGCTCATACCTCATCCCACACTCGGCAGCTCCGGAAAACCTTCCAAGTGAGCTCGCTCAAATTCTTTGTGTGTGTGTTCCTGTGTGAGGGGGACAAGCGCTTAAAAGGAAATGCGACTTCAAAGGCACACCCGGGCTGACTTTGTGAATAGCTGCATCCTCAGAAATCCAACTTTTAGCTGGACTTCTGGAAGGCTTGGAGCATTTTGAGCAGAAATACAGCCATCCACGAGACACACATCCACTCGATGGGAAGTTGCTCCCCTCAACCCCAAGAAAGCGGGACAGGTACCCGAAAGGTGGGCCATGGCTTGGTCAACCTACCTGTATGTGCTGTTCCTTGTTGGGTCCTTCATCATGTTTTTTTTTCCCCAGGGCCAAAGCCTGTCATTTCAGCAGGTCCGTTGAGGGAAACGTTCATGACTGGGCCAAGTCTGTTTTTCCAGCCAGTCTCAGCAGGTCAGCCGGTGATGACTGATCAAGGTTATTGCTGCTAGGTTTGTCTGGTCTGCGCAGGTCCCAAAGGTTCATCGTTCAGTTTCATGAAATGACCTTTTCGCTGAACCATTCCGAGAACCCACAAGAGGATCCATGTCAGCAAAAGGGCCATTAGTCAATAGGCAGCTTCAGTCTCGCTCTTGCTGTATTTCTAGGCGTGATTTGCTTGGGCCTGTAGTGGACACAAGGCGGGGGGATTCACGTCCATTGTCCAACAACTGCTTTTGAGGTGGTTCCCTTTCGATATTCATAGCCATATGTTCAGCTCGCATCTCAGCTTTCGGAAGGGGACTTTCAGCAGCAAATCGGTGATTCTAGTCCTAAGGCCCTCACACATGATGGAGCAAATCCTCTCTCTCTCTCTGTCTTTGTACCTCCATTTGCGATTGTTTGATCTAAATCTATGGACAAACACTAGTACTGGGTATGATAGCTTCCTGTTGAACAGACGAGAAGAGAACAAACCGTCCTTTTCAGCCGGTCAAAAAGCATCCCTTTTCGTTTGCCTCAGATAAGAAAGCCCTCTTGCAACGATGTTTGAGGGAACTTAGGGAGCCCTGTCCTGTGGCGAGCATCGAAGCATCGAATTTCTCGGTGAGACGGCATACAGGTTGCCTTCAGCCGGTTCACTGGTTTGCCGGAGGGAAAGGTTGGGGGAACGTTTTGCGATGAGAACGATGAGAATAGAGGCAACGCAAATTCGAGGATTGTTCAGTTGGAACGAGGCTCGGGGTGTGCGTCATGAAGGTTCCTTTCACAAGTAGAGGTAAAGCAACCCGAGCGAAGGGATCCAAGCTTCCCTCCCCAAGCCCAACTTTCTTTCCAAGTTGCAGAGGAACCCGGCACGTCTTAATGGAAGATAGTCCCTTTCGGGATTTGGGAAACTACCATTCGCTAGGCTAGGGAAATCATTTGCAAAGGAACAAAAACAGACGCAAGGCCATTGAGGCGGACATGTATAGAAACGAACTTGGATGCTCAAACCAATTGCTAGCTTATAACCCTTGTACGTGGGGAATATCAGGGCTTTTCCCCTTGCCACGGCGGTAAGCTGTTTACTGAGTGGGTTCAGAAAGTGAGCCAAGCTTGAATCCCTCCAGGATTTGGTTGGCCTACATGCTCCCTGGGTTTGACCCCCCCCCCCCGAGTCAGTTTGCTGCCCGAGGTCCTACTATGTCTTTGCGGCGATGCTGGTCTTTAGCGTGATGTGGCCCTATATCAAACTTCTGATGATGGTGCAGCCAGGCTAAGGGCAATCTTTGCGGGGAGTTGGGTCTCTTCAACTGGGTCGAGCATCCGTTCTCATCTCACATGCCAAGTTTGGATTCGTGGTGTGGGGGTAAAGGAATCCCAGTTCCGTTTGCAGCCAAATGGGCTTGTCTCAAACTACAACCCTCAAAGTGGTTGGTTTCCTTTTGGCTTCCCTTGAACCTAGGACAAAAAGTGCAACCTCAAGAAATTTGACACCCAATATGGGTCTGTCTTTTCGTTGAAGCGTGGTGCCCTTTTTCGAGTTGCTTTAGTTTCGCCCACGTGAAATATCGTCTTGGACGACACTTGGTGACTCCCAGCCATCCCCTTGGGGGAAAGTTACTCTTGGGTCGGCATCCAAGGTACATTTGGGCCGCTCCCGTGGAGCGCAAGACGCGAGGTGTGGCACTTCTCTTCTTGGATCCTCGGTCCGAAACTCTCGCGCCAACCATGGGGTGTTGGGTCAAACCTTGGGGCGTTGGGTCATTTTGCAAGGGACAAATCCCAGAAAATACGCACACCCCTGGGTTTTTCCGTAGGGCCCTATTTGAGGATCCCAGTAGAGTGTTATGGGAAATCGGGATTTGGGGTGAGTTCTTTGGGGAAAGTGGGTTTTAGGTTGCTCTTTCTGATGGCCGGATCCATCTTAAGAACTGGGCGTGGCCAAGTTCTTTGCCGCCAATCTGGCAATATCTGGCATTTCTCAGGAAATCTTGCTGTTAAAGGGCCGATCCACGTGGCGAAAGACGGAGGGTTCAAGCCAAGCGGCCAATGAATTGACACGCATCTGCCGAATCGCACCACGAGCTCAGGACCAAGTCGGCAAGTGGTCATTGATGGACAATATCATACTCTTCCTCTTTGTCTGGGGCTCAGTGGGTCTAGGGTCTCTTCAAGCGAACATGGAACCACCACAAAAAACAATGTTGGTAATAAGGACGGTTTTGGGGCGATCACGGCATCGCGCGTTTCCTCGCAGCTCAGCGACTCTCGAAAGATGACTGGAGATTAGGCTTTGGGTTGTGTCGAAATAGCTTCATAGCTTCAAGCGTCATTTCCCAACCATCTCCTAACCACCCATTGCAGGGTACCAAGGAGAAGGGCGTCAGCAGGTAGCGCGTTACTCTCAAGGAATACTTGGCGAGTCGTGTCTACACACTATAACTTATGGCGTCAATGCAGTGCTTTTGCTAGCTGCACGGTTGAAGCTGCTGTTGACTCGGAATCCCGGCATTTCCGGTAGACGATTCCTCCTGATATTCCCCAGTGGCATGATCCCTCACTTCTCTATGTGACCTGTTCGAAGTTCGGATGCCAGCGTCAGTGACCCCCCCTTCCTCAAACAGTGCTCATGTTGACAAGATATTCATAAAGCCCGGCACGCGAGGATTGTGTTATCAACGAAAGACGAACGCCGTTTGCGTTCCGAGATCGTCTTCTTTTGGATCGCCTGGCAGGGAGAGGACTGCGGCACGCATTTTTACCTGAGCGTTGCGAGCATAGGTGTCTCTTGAGACGTCGGTTTGGTTGAAGACTTTGAGGAGGTTTAAGAGTTTGACTCGCTCAGTTTCAGTTTGGTTCCAATTAGTTCGAATAATTTGGTAGTTTCACTTTTTTGCCAAAAGGACGCCTAGCTTAAAAGGACGCCTAGCTTGGGAGTGTCGCAGAGTGATTGATCTTAGGAAAAGACCACCCGCAAGGGTTGGGGCTTGCCAAGTCTTCTTGGGGAACGGCCAAGCTTGTGGCCAATTTTTGTTGGCCGCAGTGGGAGTTCCCGCAAGGTCCCTGTTTCTTTTGGGCCGCTCTTTTGAGCTATCGGTGCACTTGGGTGGAACAGCCTGTCGGTGCCTTTGCCAGCAACCCGGCGCAAGAAACTGATCCGCCGCAGTCCCGCGCTAGCGACTCTGCTGGTCGCGCAGTGAGCCGTTTACGCGGGCCAGTTGGCCGTGGCCGGACGTTGCTGTCGCAAAAACGTCCGCGGCAGCACCGTTACGCTGGACTTCAAATCTGCGAGAAAGCGGGCGGCAGCGTAGCGCGACACGCTTCTGCGGAAGCCTGGAGCCTTGACCTGGCTAGTATGCATATGGCTACATCCGGGGATACATGACCTGGGGTCTCCTCCAAAGTGAATTCATACTTTAGGGAAGAGAATCCGAAAGTATGATTTCTTTCAATGTCTGCAAGTCAGGGAGATGAGAAAACCTAAATTGTGAGGTTGCGCCATCTACTTTTTTACCCTGGAGAAACGTTTTGGGATTCTGATAGAATGCAGCCAAGATTGAAGGAGACCCCGGAATGAGTGATTTGGCTTGTTTTTGGTTGGCGTCGCAAATGAGCAAGAGCCGGTTGTCTACTCCACAGATTGGGGACGGCAAACGAGGAGGTTTCCATGCAGCCAGGACGTAGCTGGCCAGGGGCACGCCTTCTTCGGCTTGAGATGCAGCCCGGTGCCCGGGAGTTTGTGAGCCTCGCGGAATGTTGATCCCCGTCCATATGGGTAATTATGCGCAAGCAAACCCTCAAAATGGCGGTGTTCCTCTTGGTTTCCCTTTGAACCAAGGTGCAGGGGGTAGTCCCAAAAAACCACAGCCCCTATGTTTCCACCGCGAGGCTCCGTTCCCTTTCGCTTGGGCTACACCCAAAAAACGGAAATTAGACAACCATTACGGGTTCCTACTAAGGGAACCATCATTAATGCCCACACACAAAAAGAAATGGCCATGACGCACATGGCACCACGCAAACACGAGGCGTCTGAGTACTCTCCTGAAATATGTCGGTGAGCTTCCAGCTGCCCAAGCAAAAACCTCGCAGTTCTGAGGACCGACCCCCAGTATGCTCCACTTAAATATGGCAAAATACCATTTATGTGCCATGGGCAAAGGATCCGCTTACTTGAAGCTCCTATCAAAGAGAGCCACGGCCATGAGTTTTGATCTGAGCCCCTGGACATGTGCCAAGTATACTGCTGCTAGCGTTGTAAGCGCTTGCAGGCGGGTCGCTTTGCAGGTGAGTACCCATATCCAGTTCTGTGATTGGTTCGTTGTGGCTATGTGGACCTTGCCTCTTTCTTGGTCCATTGAAGTGGCTAAAGTCCATTGGGGATGTCACCGCACTGCGCCCAGATTTTCGAGGCTCCCTGGCGCTTGGTCACAGACAAGACTCGTGGCAATCTAAGCAACACAGACGAATTGTGTTGCAGGGAGCATGGGCTCAATGCATGGCACCCACGTATGAACACCCTATTTGGGCCAAGTGCTGGAGCTGTTTTGCAAGACCTATTAGGTGTCCAAGGGTCAGCTGAAGCACCAGCCACGGGTTCATGCGCCGACTGGTGACCACCTTTGAAATTACAGCTGCCAAATGTGTACTCCCGAACTCCAATGATCACAATTGTAACAGGAGTATTGTGCAGGAGTATGTTTTCAAGGAGACATGATTCGACGCCGTCGTCATGTTTTGCTTTTGTGGATTTTCAGGGGGTCAATTTAGCGCTTCGACCTTGCGAGAGTAGGCCTGCCAACGCCGTTCTCGCCAGGCCCGGGTATTGAGCTGAACACATTCCTGGCCGCGACCATTCTGCCAGGAAGCCCGAGCGACTTGCAGACCCAGAAGCTGAAAGGGCATAGGTTTTTCTGCGCTCTTTGGCTAAAAATTCTGCAAGGCAAGGCCTGTAGCTTAGTTTCATGCGGGTTTACAATGCTGTTGATGTCGCTGACGCGTTGGACCAATAGTATCTCAGGTTCACAAACCCTGTTGTCCACCGAACCCTTGAGCTTGTGGCTTCTCCTGGTGAGTCTAGTTTTAGTCCAACCTTTTAATTCCCCGTCCCCTTCCCCATAAGACAAAGTCAAATACTTGAAGCAGATTCATCAAGTTAGAGCAGTTGCAGCGTTCCGCAGATGTGGGCCAAGAGCTGGGGGGCGTGGCCCGGGCCCAATCCCCAAGAATCCCTTAAAGGTGCTGGCATGCGCCGAGCCTCAACGAAGCCCGCGAAGTGTTTTTTGTTGGTTTCTGAATTACATGGGGTCCCTCTGTTTTGCCAAGATACTTCCATTTGCTTAGTGGGGTTTGGCTTCCTCCTGCAAATGGGAATCTATCACTACCGGACGCATGTGTGTTTTCCCGACTGGAGCAAATGGAAGGATAGGACATGGTTTCCACGACGGCTTGATTCCGTTTCCTTCGGCTCACATGTTTGGGGAATCCTCCAAGCATATTTTAGGGGTAGACTAAAGATGCAACAGAGTCAGAGCCTATGATTTAAGGCAACCCTTAGTGGTGGTTTGGATTGGTTTGGGGATTTGATTATTGATTGAGAAGGGAAACCAATGCAAAAACAACCCCACCACTCCACCTAGAGTGTCCATGACCCTTCAAAATGGGTCCTTACCCAAAATGAAGGGGTCATGGACCCATTTTTCAAAGGTCATGGAGACTCCAGGCAGGCCTATTTTCGTTGTGCCCCAGTGGGCCAAGATCCTTCGCTAGGTCCCTGCTTTTGGGCCACGGCATGCTGTGGGTACACCGCCAGACTGGGAAGCTGGACGAAGGCGGGAAGACGTGGGCCGCTGGCTTTTTCCGATTTCCACGTCCCAAAAGGGATTGCCAAATGAGAAGTCCTTGCTGTCCGGCTTCCCTACTTTTGTTCTCCAAGTATCTAAGTGAGCTTTCATGGGGTAGTGGTTGGGGAAATGTGGGGAACCCTGTTACAGGTCGGTGAAATGACGAATCTCCTTCTTGTTGTTCTTGTGCCGTTGTTTTCGGGATGGGCAAATGTTGTTTTAGCAATTGCCCGGCCCGCCGTACAGGAACAGTTTGTTTCCGATGAGTTGGGTATGGCTTGGGATTCGGATCCCAAAAAATTGTGTTGTGTTGAGTTTGTTCTTTTGGCACCAACCCCAAAGATGGCTGCCTCAAATTGTACACATCCAGTTGGTAGATGCCTTTCAATCGACCAGGGAGTTTCAGTACGGGTGTATGATGAAGAGCTAGACGCAAAAGGACACCTGAAAGGGGTGCGCATTCAAGTCCAATTTGTCGGACCACTCGAAAACCAAATTTGACGGTTTCAACGGAACGGGTTTGTGCATGTACCAGCTGATTTTTGGCCGGGTGCTAAGAGCCCATAGCTGTATGTGTGGAATGACGTGCCATCTCTCTTCATTCGCTTCCTTCGTCTATTCGTTTCCTCTTTCCTCACTCTCTCATTCATTGCTTCACCGAAAGGCACGGCAAGGCAGTGAGTGGGAAGAAAGGAATGGGCCATGCCTCTCTATTCCCTCTGTCATCTCCTCACCAATCCAAACAAAGGAAAAGGTGAGGATACAGGGAATAGATTGGAGGCATGGGATGGATGCATGATTTCCTCGTCTTATCCTCTCATTCCATTCCATTCCATTCCTTCCCATTGACGAGGTAATCCCATCCATCATTGACACAGCCCGGAGACGGAAGGGATGTGGAAAGGATGGCCTCTCTCTCTTCATCACTCACCCATTTCCCCGCTGCCTTCGCTCGCGGTAACTTGTCAATGGGTGAGCACACATGATGAAGAGCGAGTGAGAGAAGCGAACGGGAGGCCATCTCTCACTTCTTTCCTCTCCCTTTCTCACTTCCTACGTCATGAGCGGGAGCGGGTAGATGTGAGAGCGAGCGAAGTGAGTGAGTGTCCTTTCTCTTCATATCCTCACATCTCCATCAAAATCCCAAAAGGACACCAACTCGGGATGGGTCATGTCATATAAACCGATTTGCCCCAGCCGCTCTTTTGCGACACCGGACCTTTGAGTCCAGTCCTCTGCTAGGTGCGCCGCTACGGAGCGATAGCCTGCGATGGCTGGGCTTCGACCCCAGGAGAGCTTGGGTTCTTCCTTCTCCCTGAACCGTGCGTTTGGACTTAGCACAAGTGGCCACTGTTTGGGTCTGGATCATGTTGGTCTCAAACAAAAGGATTGAGCTGTGTTGCCCAATCAACTCCAGAAGTTAGTTGGTTCTATTTTACTTTTCCCTTGTTTTGGCTTTGTGTCGTACCTTTGTTTCTGGTTCTGGGCTTTGTTCAGATGGCTGCATTTTGGCGAATATACCCTGGGTTGGAAGGGAGGGATCCCTGGATTGAGTTGTGCGTCTTTGGGTCTTGTGTTGTTTGTCTCTGCCCCACTGGCAGTTCTGGTGTCTCCGCCAAAACGTTGCGATATTTTAGGGTAGACCCAAAGTGAAACAGAATCAGAAAATAAGACTTTTGGAGTATCCCCCCCCCCCAGCCAGGGTCAGGGCAAAGCCCAAGCTCCAGGAACCTTCTGAGAAGGGGGAGTGTTGCCTTAAAAAACGGTTGGCTTTGTTCATTTTTGCGTGCTTCCAAGGGTTGGAAAGCCTCCCACCGTGTTCTCGAGCTGAGGGACCCTGGTCGAAAAAGACGCATTCTTTTGGAGGTGATTCCAAGTTTAAGACACAGGGATTCAGAGGGCGGCGCCAGAGTTTGTAAAACTGGGCTGCCTTGAAGTCCCGCTAGTTCGCAGACGGAAGGCGGCACGATGCAGCTGAGTGCTTCAAGTTCGAGGCCAACGCGCGCAGATTTTGGATGGATTGCTGCGGTTCTACCTTTCTTTCGCGCCCTCGAAGAGCTCCATACCGCCAAGCCGATCCAGAATATTTGCATATCAGGCGATTTCACACATCAGCTCTGTCACCAGGGCTTCGACTATGGATTCCTTTGCTGTGTGGTTCTCCGGCGGCTGGGTGGACGAGCTTGCCAATAGTACGTACTGATTGCGTGCATCGTGGTCGAGAAGATCTATAGGCATACGTTTGACTGAAGTGCTTGAAACCCAAAACTCTCTACAGGAAAGTCGACTGCTTGTGAAGAACAGCCAAGAACAGTAAGCTGTTTGACTTCACTCATTTTGTGATTACTGCTGCGTTTCTATCTGTTAAGACAAGGATTCTTGGAATATTGAATGTCCATGTACAGCCAACACCACCTAATGTGTCGCAAAATCCATCCAATTGTGTCTTCTTTTGAATTCTGAATGCCCTTGGGTGGATATGAGGAGCAATCTTTAATTTTCGATGTGACCATACAAAGCATTCAAATGGATCTGGCTTGGCCAACTTCCTCCAGAATTTCCAGCTGGTTTCTATGAAGTGCAGCCGAGGTCTTGCTCACGTGGGCTGCATTTTGCTCACCGCAGGGCCCTCAGTGAGGGCCCAGGATGCTGAGACCAGGGAGCCGTTCAGCGGGTCCACGTGTGGCCTTGTGGCAAATGTCAGGCAAGGGCGAAAAAGGCAACTGAGGGATGGACGGTCCTTTCTCAAGGGTCCATTGTTTCACCAGAACCTTATTTCAGGGTTCCATTGTTTCTCGGGGGTCCCTTTAATCTGCGAAAGTAAACAATCGCCTTTCACACAAAGCCTCCTGTCTTCCTGCAGCTTGACCCACCAGGTCCCATTGCGGTCGGATTCCCTGCTTCCAAAACCAAATGGGTCCCCTGATGAGCGTCCTCTCACCTACATGGAACCTGACAAATGGCTGTGTTCGTCTGAAAGATGATGTTCCACTTGGAAAGACCAGACTGTAGGTCGATTTCACAAGTATCAAGCTGCTCCCCCTGATTTGTGGGCGCTTTGTTGGAAGTGAACCATGCACTCCGAATCGATCCCCTGGTCACTTGAACATGGAATTGCGGGGGCGATTTCGACCCCTGGAGCTTCAGTCCACGAAGGGCACACGGAACGAAGGCGAAGCTCTGGGTTTCAGAGCAAGGCATCCAGGAGGGTTTCGAGGTCTCCGGTTACCCGAGTTGTCTCAGTCTGCGAATGGTCGGGGTCAGTCACTTTGTTGTGTCAGTTGTGTCCCAGCTCCAAGTTAGACATTGGAAATCCCAACTCTAGGAAGATTTTGGCATTCTTTCAGCCCTGGGTTCTAACCCACAAAGAGGGGAGAGATTCGAACTCTCTCAAACGCACCAAATCCCTTTGAAAGTGCTCCCACTGACTCTTTAGGGTGCGGAAACAAAGTTGTTCCCTAAGGATTGCTTCAAGAAACTGCTGAACCAATCTGAGAAGCTTATATGTTCAGCCAGCGTCCTTTTCCAAACGACCGGTCACTCACCGAAATCCGGTGGTACTTGGGGGCGATGTGAACCGCCCCAATTGGAATGGCCCGGCCAGATCTTATACTGTCCGAGCAGCATTGCGCTTACCATCGGGCACGATAAAATATTCACTGCTGTCCTCGGAACCGCGGAATCAGCAAGTCCCAAGGTCCTATCCTGGCAGGTTGACATCGTGAGGGGCCCCAGTCTCGAGCGAGTGGCCCAAGGCACCCGCTTGAAATTGGCATTGCTCTGAGCCTGTGAGATATGTTGCTTGTCCAGTCTTGGGAGCAACCCTTGGGACGTTCGGGTTCCGAGCGTTGGGATCGAATGTCGCTCTGCTGCAGAAAGAGCAACCCTGATTGGGATCTTGGTGTTTTGGATTTGGTTGCTCTTGTGGATTTGTGGGATTTTATGTTGGTTTCATTGGATGTTCGTTGGGTTATTGTTTTTCTTTGGCTCCCGTGGTTTTTCGGCTCAACGTTAGTTTTTAATTGGTCAGGGCTCCCAGTAGTGCCCTTTTACCCTTTTTTGGGGGAGGGTTCCCCTTCTAAAATAGACTACCGGAAAAAGGGTACCCTTATTCTAACCTCTCTACTGAAGGACCTAGGGATGTTTCAAACCATCGAAAGGGGACATATGGGGACCCCGGTTGGTTTTCATTGCTCTTCAGGATTCCTTTGATTGAACTTTGGTAGTTCCTATTGAATGACACTCAGGTTTTGTTTCTCGCCGTTTCCTTGTGACTGAGGACCAAGCCACAAGGGCAGAGAATGGGTTTGGTTACCCCCAAAGTGGTTGGGTTTCTTTTAGACTCCCTCTAAGACCAAAACGTGCGCTTGTTTGGGGACACATCGCGTTCCGGGGCTCCTCATCAAGTGGCAGCCAGAATGGATGTTTGAAACCACCCTAACCCAGAATAAAGGGACATCTAAGAACCCCCATATGTTTGGGGGAGCCCTTTTGCTGACATGACCACGTTTGCAAGCGTAGGTGGACGTGTCCTTCAGTGGCCTGCTGGGCACGTTCCTGAAGGCGAGAGGAGACATGCCAGTGGGGCGTTTTTGTGAGCGCCCAAAGCCAAGAAGGGCATTGCTTTAATACTTTAGCAAGTCATTCCTGGTCTTGCGGTTGTGTTGAGCCTACATAAACCTTTACTATCTTGGCTGGGTCAACGTTTGGTAGCATATTTCATTTTTGCCTTGACTAAAATGATCAACGATAATATTATATTTTTGGGGGACCAACATGTCGATGGGAATCAATTGTTTACACCTCCTTTTTGCTGCTTTGGTATTCCATGCAAATCCTACGGGTCTCTTGTGCCAAGAACCGAGAAACCTTGTGAACGACCCCGCCGGCATTTCACTATGTGGTTCGTTCAAAAGAAAACTGCCAGGAGGGCATCTTCTTCCGTTTAGGCGTGGGACCCCTTAAGAACCAACCGGAGCGCCCCAAAGGAAAGGATGGCCCTGTGAAAATGCGCTGGAAGCATTTGGAAAGCGAACTTGCCAAATAAGGTCGAGGCACCGATTGCCTCGACGACTTGGTTATGGTGAGAGTCAAAGGGACGTAACTGGGGTCTGTTTTGATGTTCATTTTCGGGGCGAAGAAATATGAGCCGGAAACGGGCCAAAGAGCTTCGGTTGCCAAGCTGTAGGTGTTGGCCCTTTCCAAGGAGCTTTTACCAAGCCACTTTCGGCGGTCCGGTTTACCAAGAGAACGGCCGAGCTGTTGAGAGTCATGCACCAAGATTCATCCTGAGGCCCTGCCCATTTTCAGAAGACACTTTCCGAGGCAATCTGAACATGCGCCTTTTGTCTCACTGTTTTTGGTATGGTGTTTCAATTGGTTGATGACTTGCTTGCTGTTCGTTTCCAGGCCTTTGCCGCAAAAAGCACACAGGGTTCTTGCACCAGCGAAAGATCAGTGCAACCGCCGCGCCAAAAAGCGATCGCGAGGTAACAGAGCAGCCAACCTCCAAGACATATAGCAGCTCGGATTGAAAGCTTCTTGCGCTTGACCAAATCTGAGTTCTCCATATATTCACTTCCCAAGCTCTTTGGACTTGTTTTTTGTCCAGAAGGCCGTTTTAGTCGCAGACACTAGGTTCAGAGTTCATGTTTTCCAATTTCACTGAGGAAGTGAGCACGCTCGCACAGGCCATTTCCCTTGTTTGTTGCTTGTACCAAAGACGGGTCCGCCAATACGGCTGGGAGTCCAAGAAGGTTGTTTCCCGCAACCTCAAGCCCTACGGAAGGGCTATCAACACCCCAACACAACCCTCTTCTACCTGGAGTTCGGGGCACCTTGCCATCTCCTGCTTTCTGTGAACAGCCCAAGTGTGCCGCTTTGATCCGGAGCATAGCATTTCTCTTAGGCTGCTAAGGGCTGTTGCTTTTGTTTTTCTGTTCATGTGTAGACATACCCAGAGTTAGCAACACAGGAACAGTTTCACACAGCACCTTGAAACAAAGACTTTCTCACAACCAGTTTGGGGAGTTGTTTTACACTTTTTTGTAGACCTTTTGGGAATCAGGACCACAAGATCTTGGGGTTAACATATCGGAAAAGTGTTGGTTGTTGTGTACTTTTGTTGTTTCATTTTGGTCGCGCCGAGGCATCCTGGGCATTCTGTCCTGCCTGGGCAAGCAAGGCTCAACCTATCTACAGGCGCACGACAGGATCGGACTCAGCTGCAAAGAGTCTGACCAAAATGAAAGCCTGCTACTCAGCCTTGTGTCGTGACAACCCCAGTGTTGGTCCATGTTTCGTCATGACCTTTTCCTTAAGAGTCTTTTCCGGGGAAGGGACCAGCGGGTTCAGTGGTTTCGGTTGCCTTCCCAGTTCGGGGTTCGTGGAAAAGGAGCAACGAACTCACCAAGCTTTGCCAAACGAAGCTTTGCTTCTTGTCCTTTTGCCCTTTTGGATTTAACTTTTTGGCAGGGGGTCCAAGACTGGTCGAGTTAGTTGTGTCCTATGACAGGGTTCCTTTTGGTTGAGCAGATGAACCTCCACTTGCTGTTGGACACCCCATTCACTTTCCTGGTGATTTGCGCTTTCCTAGCACGTAAATGAACCTTTGGGATGATATTCACCAAGTGTCCAACGATCAGTAAGCAACGCAGATTAGCAACAAATTGCGGCAACACTTAAGTGTCCATGCTTTCTCTATTCAGTCCACTGAGATCCTCATGTTTTTCTCGGATCATGGCGAATGCATGGAAAGACATCGGGGGCACAGGTGAGAATTCCGAGGCCGAGTCTGCGTACACTCCATTTGTTGGAGGTGATCTGCTTGTTCGGCTTGCTTGGTTTTCACGTGGCTCAGGGAAATGGTCAGCACATTAACTCGAAGAGCCTTTCCATAGGCTTCACCTTGTACCTTGTCAAGGCCTTTCCTAGACCTCCAGACTGCCCTTGCTTACTGGAAAATGTGTACAAAATTGAACAAGCTCAAATGAACCAAACAGGTAAAAACAAGATCATGGAGTGTTTCTAGGAGCGAACACAACTGCCGACCTTAAATGTGTGGAGAACCCTGAGTACTTGCTCAAAGTGAGTGGGGAGTCGGGATGCCCAGAAAAGGCGCCTGTTTGTTTTGGAGGGTTCCTGGCAAAAATCCACCAAAGTCCCAAGGCCGCTGGAGGTCTGGAAGCGCTTGTTTTTGTGCTAAATGGACCGTCGACTGGACACGAAAACAAATATTTGGGCCTTGACCCGCAAAAATTATTTACAGATTGCTAGCTCAACAGGTGACGTTGTAAAAGGAGCAGAGGGCTCACTGCAGCATGTTCCCTCTGCCATCGCCCACCGAAACATGTTGGAGCCACTCTTTAAGGGACATATAGGAAACCATGAAGCAAGGAAGTGTATTTTCCCTCCGTTGTAAACTGGGTGGTAAAACCACGACTTGGTAGGATACACAAATCCACCCCTTGTTGTTTCTTTTGGAGAGGGAATCAACGGCGTTAGCACCCTGGGATTGAGGGTGTTGCAAGTGTTTCGGAACAAATGGCGGTGAAAAAGGATTCAAGAACCCGTTTGGAAGGGAAAATATTTGCCAAGCTTCATAAATGTTGAGTGGTGAGCGCTGTCCCACAAAGGTGTTGTTTTTATGCAGACCATTTACTTGCGACCCATGTTTGTGGCCGAATCTTCTAATCACCGGTTCCACTCCCGGCGCTTTCTTTCAGCGCCAGGTGAGCTTTGCGATTTTTGTTCTGGCCATCCCAGTGCTGCAGTTGCTGGCGATGGCATTTATTTGTCGGTGCCTTAGACTAACTGCTTGGCCGCATTCTTTGTTCATAAATGGCCTCCCACACCCACTGCCGACTTTGGGTTTGATGTCAACTGACTAAGCAGTCGGAAGTATTTACCTATGGAAAACCTGTTTGTTCAACACACACCCTTTAAAAAGCAAGGTACTTGGAGTTGGTGGGGTTAAACCTCCCAACTGGTGCTCACTGGGCTTGTAACCCTGTTTGTAGCCAAACAGAGACGCCAACTAAAGGCGTCTAGTGATGTCCATGTCTGACATAAGGATTAATCAGCCTCCCACTTAATCCAGGTTTAATCAGCCTCTATGTTTGTTTTGGCGCTCTGTTCAGTTTTGTAGGGGGGATGCAATGCTCAAAGCGTGTTTGTTGACGCTCCGAGGGTTGAAAAGATGTGCGATGTCCACAGTCAACCAAGCTCATGGCTCATAAGAAGCTTCCCAAAAAAAATCCCGCGTGTCCAGCCAACCGGACCCGTGGCTGTGCAAAACCCGGAGCCATTGGGCCAAGGCCTTTACCAGCTGCAGCCAAAGAAGCTGCAGCTCCTTCTTCGCCTTTGCCGGGGATACAGATCGACCGCGAGCGGACCGGTGTCCACGGAAAGCCCGGTAAGGGCCAGGGAGAATGCGGTATGTACCACTTTAACCCGGGGGTATTCCAGAAAGCTCTTGGCAAAATGGGGTATGAGCCTGGGTCGTCTCCTTTGCTTTCGCATTTCAAGGTTGACCAGATATGAAACATACTCAGCATCTTATATTGGGTGACGCTGTGAGGTTGGGCTAGCTATGCTCTTAAAATGTGAGAAACCCCTATCCATCCAAAACAGGGTAGCCTCAAAAAAGGCCACTCCCTTTTCGTGGTTTGTGCGGTGCCATGGTGTTGGGGAACCCACTTTTGGTTTTAATGGGACACCAAAAGGAAACCAACAACCTCGGGGTCCCATGGAGCGCAAGTGAGTTCGCGACTCTCCAAGCAATTTGTCGTGTGGCCTGGGAGCTAGACGGGCCCGGAAGCATAGAAAGAAACATCCTGCTCTTTGGGGCGACAATGCCTTGGACTCGTTGGGGAAAATGAAAAACAAAGCAAAAAAATGACAAACCGTTAGGACAAGTTGCACTTTGAGAGGGGTCATTGAGAACAATCCAGTTTCGATCAGCCGCTTGTGAAACGAGTCATGCCAACATTTAATGAGCCTAAGTTGCACAAGCACAATCGACCTGTTGATCGTTTGGTGCCATAAAAAGGGGCGATATTCAGTCAGTGTTTGGTTAATTTGTTTTCATGATGAGCTCACCTTCCTTGGCAATTGTTTGGGTCAAGTCGGCAAAGAGCTATAGTTGTTGCAGAAGGGCAATAGTGCCTACAACAGCTACCGCGACTTTGCTCTGATGGGTAGCCACACAACTCAGTGGGTTCGGGTTGGGATTGGAACTCTGCGTGGGAACAACCAAGGCTTTGGTTGGCCTAGCCAAGCTCCGGCTTTTCTTTTGGCTCCAAAACTTATCGGACGGTACTGGCTGGGCAAAAGTCAATCTTTTCATCTGGAAAATTTGCACCAAACCCAGAGGAAGCTTGGAATCGAGATGTTAACTTAAATGCTATTGGCTTTGACCTGCATCCTTTCGCCTTTGGGCAAATGTGCAACTTGCCACCAAGGACAACTTGAACATAGTGGGGGCAATACCAATGCTAAATCAACACTGGCTCAATATTCACCCAATACTAAGCCAATGCTCAGCGAATGCCATGTGTAACCCCATACTCCAACAAATTCCCCTAAACTGATGCTCAACCAATCAACCAGTTAGACTTCTGTTTGAGAGACTTTGGACGCAGGCTACACGTTGAGTGCATGGGCAGCCTACGACGTCTTTTTCATCGCCTTTCTGGCCGCTGTGCTGGGAGGTGAAAGGCAGCTCGAATCCGATCCGCTTGGGTCAGTGCTTGTTCAACTCCGAAATGGGGCGTTCTCGTAGTAGAAGCCTACAGAGGTTGGTTCCCTGTGGTTTCCCCTTGGAACCTCCGATTCTTTCATGTTAAGGTTCAAATCCTATGAACCAGAATGTCACATAAGTTGGTTTTTGTTGGTTGGGCAGAAGCTGAGGTGTGTGTGTGTGTGTGGGTGGGTTCTATTTTCAGGGTACCTTGTTTGGGCCGGTATAAGGGAGGCCAAAGGAAAGCCACCGTTTGCGGGGTGCCTTGGAGACACGCCCAGTTGGTTTGCTTTGGGGAAATGGGTTTGTGGAAAACCGTTGGGTTTGGGCGCCGAGTTTATTTTTTAGGTTTGACAAGGCCGTTTTGCTCCGTGGTGCTGGGGTTTTGGCTCGGCCAGTCTGTCTCCCAGTCCGTCGGTCGCCCCGGTCGGTCGGTCGCCCCAGTTGGTCGGTCCCCCCGACCGACCCGGTCGGTCGGTCGGTTGGTCGGTGGATTGGTCCGTTGATCAGTGGGTCCCTAAACCAGCCCTAAGCCAACCCTAAACCACCCTTAACCAACCCTAGACCAACCTAAACCGGCCCTAAACCAACCATACACCAACCCTAAACCAGACCCTAAACCAACCCTAAACAAACCCTAAACCAACCCTAAACCACCCTTAACCAACCCTAGACCAACCTAAACCGGCCCTAAACCAACCATACACCAACCCTAAACCAGCCCTAAACCAACCCTAAACAAACCCTAAACCAACCCTAAACCAACCTAAACCAACCTTAAACCGCCCGAAGCCAACCCTAAACCAACCCTAAGTCAACCATGAACCAACCCTAACCCAACCCTAACCCAACCCTAAACCAGCCCTAGACCAACCCTAAACCAGCCCTGAACAAACCTGTCTTTGAACAAGTGAACCCCCTCTGCGGACTTTGCTGCGTTTTGGAGACTGCTTCTTCCAAAAGGCAAACCCTTTGCAGTTGTTTTTTTTGTTTTTTTGTTTTTTTTCTGGGGAAAAAAAGGCCGCGCTGAACCTAATAAGAAATAACCCTTCCGCCAGCTGTGTTTGGGGAAATGGGTTTGTGGAAAACCGTTGGGTTTCTTTTGGCTCCTTGTACCCTGAAGTTGCAGACCCGAGCCTCAAGAAACCACCCATTTTGCACGACGCGAAGTGTCTGTGCGCACCTCGATGTGCCAAAAAAGGTTTCAGCGACTTCATGTGGAAACGGCCCTGGGAAGCTGGGGTCTCCTCGGGCGGACTCAGAACGAGAATCTGAAAGCGTTACTTTTTGTGTACCCCAGATGTGGCAGGGTGGTGGTTTCCGTTTAAACGAATGTAAAAAGAGTACCTTCACACAGAGCGCTTTGAACTTCGCCCCAAAGCAGAGGCCTTTGCTGACGCAGAACTGAGCTGAACAGACTTGTATGCCTATGTTTTAAGCATATGTTCCATGCCTGATGCTGACAGGGGACATCCCCATATCCCACCACCACAGCTGAATGAGTAAGATCGCTTCTGTTTTGCGGTCGCGCACGATTGGCTTACCGTAATTTATTAACCCCCCCCCGTCTTTGTGGTAGAGTCTGGCTGCTGCACGTGCATTCGCTGATCTTTGGTGTGACCTTCGCCCCTTAGACCTTTTGGCAACAACCGACGTTTCCGGCAAATCTGCCAAAGCTTGTGCCAAGGGGAGAGAGAGCAACCCTGTTCAGAGCATCAGTTCAAATCCGATGGATTTCGAAATCGGAAACGGCTGTGGCGGGAGGAAAAGCGATCCTGTGATAGGTATGGCATCGGCCAGTTCATCGAGCCTGGGCCTTGACACGAATCTATGCTGAGTAGCCGTGGCTCACAGATTCGGAGTTTTGACACGTGTGGAAACTGGGCTCCTTCAAAACGATGTTTTCATCTAGAATCCAAAATGTGTTTTTCTGCACCCTGTTTTGGAGGGCCAACAAGCCGTGGACGCTAAATTGCCCATCATTCTGTTGATTTTCCTGACCGCATATGTGGCACCCACTTTGTTCACATGGTTTAGACCCCGACAGATTGACTGAAGGAATCCAAAGAAGCAAGGCCGTTTGTCTAGTGGAGCCTCCTAACTGGGGGCACTTGGTCAAAGACGGTTTACCTTGGTTTTCCGCCACGTCCCGAAAACCGATTTGGACATGTTACTCTTCACATGGCTTTCCCTGAAATTTGTTTGGGTCAATGTTGTCTCCACCAACAGGGGATTCAATGTTTCGCCAAGGACAGCCTTGGTTACTTGCCAATAGAATCCATTCTGTCTGGTCAAAATTGAAACGAGCTGCGTTTTGGGACCGGTTCGGGTTAATATTTGTGGGACAAAGCCGAGCCTTTTGCTTGGGGTGGCCTGCTCTGGACCACCGCACATAGAGCCCGAGTGTCCAGTGGTCGCGGTGGGGTCCACTGTCATAAGACCAGCATGGTAGGTTGGTGGTCTACAAGCAGAACCTCGCCCCCATCTGCGACGCATTGCGCGACGGCGGGGTGCCGTGCTTGGGCCCTGGCAGATCCCAGCGACCGGTCCTCTGGACCGCAGGTGACTGATCGAAGCGTGGTGTTTCAATATGCACCAAGGCTCGGTGAGATACTGATACTGATGTGTGTGTGTGTGGTTGAACACAGGCTTGGTTGTTAGCTTTCGTGCACGGGGATGTCTAGACTCGGGCTGTCAGCTGGGTATGCAGATCAATGGCAACTGTAGGGATCGCAGACAACCGTATAAACGCCGGTTTGCGTGTAGAAGTGGCTGATTCCCAGATTGAGTACAATCAGAGCTAGCGGCGCAAGACAATATTTCGCGGCCTGAAGAAGGCGTACGGTATTGCATAACATGTCGGTGGCTTGAAAGATGTTTGCGAGCTACTTGAGGGGAATGTGTGTGTGGGTGTGTGGGTGTGTGGGTGTGTGGGTGTGGGGTGTGTGGGTGTGTGGGTGGGTTGGGTGGGTTGGGTGGGTTGGGTGGGTTGGGTGGATTGGGTGGGTGGGTGGGTGGGTGGGTGGGTGTGTGTGTGTGTGTATATATATATATATATATATCAAAACCACGTGGATACATCTACTCACCCGCATACACACACAGACACACAGGTACAAAAACACACATGTCGATTTCAGTACGTATGTAGGTATGCATGTACCCCACACACGGCACACACATCGCATACAGCACATACTGTACATACATTACCTTACGTTACGTTACAGAACATCACGCTATGTTGCATGACTACACAGAGGCAGACAGGCAGACAGGCAGGCAAACTGGCAGACAGAGGCAGACAAACAGAGAGAGAGAGAGAGAGAGAGAGAGGGAGGGAGAGAGAGAGAGAGAGAGAGAGAGAGAGAGAGACAGATGGAGACAGATGGAGACAGATGGAGACAGATGGAGACAGACAGACGGAGACAGACATGCAGACAGGGACAGAGACACAGACACAGACAGACAGAGAGACAGAAGCAGAGACAGAAACAGGAACATAAAATGAACCCCTGCATTGAAAAGCAGATGTTCTTTGAGATGGTTGCTTCACGATCGAAAAAGGCCTCCACAGTTTCGAGCTCCTTTTTGCTTGGGTTTGCACATCATGACCAGCTAAACGACATTTAGTATGGAATCTAAGCGGACTTGCCTGAAAGTGTTGACAGCAGGAACTCAACATGGAAATTCGTGCAAAACAAGCTTCCCTTTGAACATCCTAAGTCTACCTTCAGGTCCACTAGTTCACACCTCGCATGATGCCATGGAGCCTGAGGCTTGCACATCCAGCTCAGTTTGCTGCCGGGTGCCGCGT